ACCTCAAGAGATGCGAAGAACTTTTGACAGGCAAAGTGCAATATTGATAGGTGATTGCACTTTGTCTCTCCAAACTCTCAAATATGCTTCTCACCATACATCAAACGGGCAAATTTCTCCTTAAATTTCTCATTCGTTGAAAGGTTTTCAACAAAGCTATACCTTAAAAATCTGTGCTTGTTATATCTGATCATTTGTGTGTTAGGGGAGGTAAATTTATTCCACTAGAGCAAATTTTTTCCGAGGTTTCTCATCGAATGAGAAACCTCGGAACAACTCTTCAATAGTGTAATGAATTTGTGGTATTTGTCCTGCAAACAGCGAGAGAACTTGTCTGTAATTCGTTTATGATGAAGTTATCTGGATGTCTCTCAGATGAGGAAGGAAGTCCAGAAAACTTCACCATAAGTTAATACTTGTGTATTTCTATGACTCTCTTCACGTCAGAGAATGTAAATTTACTCGAATAGGGCAAAGTTCTGCTCAAGTTTCTCATTTGATGAGAAACCTCGGAAGAACTTTGCCCTAAGGTAATGTATATGTGATTGTTGGCCCGCAGAGAAACAAGGAATCTGTTTGTATTTCGTTTATGGGAAGTTCTCGGATGTTCTCTCAAATTATATGGAAAATCAAGATAACTTCACCATAATTTGTTGTAGTTGTGATTCTCTGGCTCTTTGCCGGCCAGAAAACTAGAAAATAGTTTATAGTGGGAGTATGCTCGATGAATACCTACTCACTAAAAATATACGTTATTTTTTTATTTTCCTATGGGAAAAGTTTTGATTTTATACTATCGTATGCTTTGTTATTGCATGAATTGTCTATTTTCTTAATAAAAACTCATTTTTCCGTGTGATTCTGAATCAATGCATTCAAAAAAGCGTTTTCCGCCTTTGAAACGTGAAACACACATTGCATGAAGAATCAGAGAAGATTTTCTATCTTTCAATTTTTTAGACTTATTGAAATTTGATAATAACTCCAAATTAAGCTGATAAACTCATAGAGCACATAAAATAACACATGCCTATCATATTTGAATTTTCTAAAAATCTCCAAAAAAATCGCGTTTTAAAAATTTCGTAGTTAAAAAGTAAATTTTTCACGATAAAAAAACTATAATTGGTTTTTTTTGGAATTCTTCGAGTTAGAAAATCTTCTCTGATTCTTCATGCAATGTGTGTTTTCACGTTTCAAGGCGGAAAACGCTTTTTTGGAATGCTTGATTCAGAATCACACGAAAAATGAATGTTTTTATTAAGAAAATAGACAATTCATGCAATAACAAAGCATACGATAGTATAAAATCAAAACTATTTCCCATAGGAAAAATAAAAATAACGTATATTTTAGTGAGTAGGTATTCATCGAGCATACTCCCACTATAAACTATTTTCTAGTTTTCTGGCCGGCAAAGAGCCAGAGAATCACAACTACAACAAATTATGGTGAAGTTATCTTGATTTTCCATATAATTTGAGAGAACATCCGAGAACTTCACCATAAACGAAATACAAACAGATTCCTTGTTTCTCTGCGGGCCAACAATCACATATACATTACCTTAGGGCAAAGTTTTCTCGAGGTTTCTCATCAAATGAGAAACTTGAGCAGAACTTTGCCCTATTCGAGTAAATTTACATTCTCTGACGTGAAGAGAGTCATAGAAATACACAAGTATTAACTTATGGTGAAGTTTTCTGGACTTCCTTCCTCATCTGAGAGACATCCAGATAACTTCATCATAAACGAATTACAGACAAGTTCTCTCGCTGTTTGCAGGACAAATACCACAAATCATTACACTATTGAAGAGTTGTTCCGAGGTTTCTCATTCGATGAGAAACCTCGGAAAAAATTTGCTCTAGTGGAATAAATTTACCTCCCCTAACACACAAATGATCAGATATAACAAGCACAGATTTTTAAGGTATAGCTTTGTTGAAAACCTTTCAACGAATGAGAAAGTTAGGAAAAACTCTACCTTATAAGATCAACTATAGAATTCATAGCTCTTTGAATACTAGGAAACATTAATGCAGTAGTTTAAGGCAAAGTTTTTCCGAGATCTACGAAGGATAGAGAGATCTCGGAAGAACTTTGCTCTGCACAAGTAATTTCAGAATCTATGGTCCTCTAAGGACCAGAGGACGGTAATGTAAAAGAATGATGTCAATAGCAGATATAATAATGCCTTAGAAGTTCAATACGTGCACAGTTTGACTACATTGCCCTAGTAGTTAGACTGTACAGGTATTGTACTTCTGGCCTAAAAAATCCTCATTGAAGACAATAGGTAGAAACTCAAATTGTTGATAAATATCCCAAAATATCATAAGAGAGCCCATTATTGTTACCTGGCTCCTTCCTGGCTTTCAAAGTCTGTAAACGAGAAGTCTTGGCTCTTGTGGTAATTGCTTCCAAGAGGTTTACTCAATTCGAGTAAAACTATAAACCCTGTAACTGACATGTACTTCCTTGAATGGGCATTAAAAGTAATTTAACCTAACGAATAGTAACATGACTCTCGTAAACGAAAAAGAGGATTTGACGCAGTCAAATCCTCTCTCTCAAAAGTGGACTTTACATGGCAAATTTCAAATGCATGTAAGGTCCACTTTGATCAGTTTCAGGATGGAATTGGAGGCCATGAGGTACTGACATTGCATCAGTATCTCATAGCCTCCAATCCCTTCAAAAAATGGGAGAAACTTTGGTCGAATAATTTAACATTCGGCCAAAGTTTCTCCCATAATTAATGAGAATGAAGGGTAAGAGGCATATAGGGTCACTATATACCTCTTACCCTTTCATTTTCATTTGGAGGTCAACAAACCCGGAGTTAATTGCAAACAATTAACTCCAATTTGTTTATGTTAAGGAAGGAATTGGAGGGTAAGAGGTACATAGTATGAATATGTACCTCTTACCCTGCAATTCCTTCTAGAAAGTTCCAAAACTTTGGGTTAATTGCAAACTATTAACCCAAAGTTTTGGAACTTTCAAGTGGAGATGGAGGTTTGGGGTATATATTAATATAAACCTCATCACCTCCCACTACTACAAATGGAGAAACTTTGTCCGAATAGTTTAACATTCGGACAAAGTTTCTCCATTTTAAGAAGGAATTGGAGGGTAAGAGGTACATAGTATGAATATGTACCTCTTACCCTGCAATTCCTTCTAGAAAGTTCCAAAACTTTGGGTTAATTGCAAACTATTAACCCAAAGTTTTGGAACTTTCAAGTGGAGATGGAAGGCTTTGGGGTATATATTAATATAATATACCTCAAAGCCTTCCATCTCCACTACAAATGGGAAAACTTTGTCCGAATAGTTTAACATTCGGACAAAGTTTCTCCCATCTTTCAATGTAATTGCTACCTGTGAGGTACTGACTTGAAGTCAGTGCTTCACAGGTAGCAATATCCAAAAATTTAAAAACATTTTATCAGTTCGTTAGAGAACTAGAGCCTCCTAGGTACTGAACCAGAATCAGTGCCTAGGGACTCTAGTGATCTATATAAATCTGAGAAACTTTGAGGAAATTGTTCGACATTTCCTCAAAGTTTCTCAGCATTTAGCGAGGAATGTTCGTTATCGTGTAGATATTTATAATATATACATGATAACAAACATTCCCCGCTAAAAGATGTAAAATCTTATAAGAAATAATTGCAAAAGAAATAACAAATTGCAACAAATTTTATATGAAACTGAACCTTATGAGGTAGTGATTCAAGATCACCGCCTCATAAGATTCAGTTTCAATCTCAAGTATCTCAAAAGTAAGGCTCTATTTTTTGCCATGTAAAGTGTCACTTTACTGTCAAGCCGTTTTTATCGTTTTCGTTTACAACATGACCACTATTTTGATGACTAAGAAATGTAATTCATCAAATTGGCAGTTCGATGAATAATACCATGCAATCAACAACTGGTTTGTTACAATTTGGCTTGATTCATCAAATTGGCGGTTTGATGAACCGAATATTGTAATCCAGACTAGGTCAGTTACAATTTGGCTTGATTCATCAAATTGGCGGTTTGATGAACCGAATATTGTAATCCAGACTAGGTCAGTTGCTTGTTGGTCATAGATAATAATGACACCTTTCAGTTTTTGTTAAATATCTCAATTATCCCGCCAAAAATTATTGGGTCTAAATTGGTTTTTATTATTATTATTTTCAGAAACAAACTAACTTGTTTTTTAGGAATTTATCATTCATAAAGTCTTTATGATATATTTTCAACTTATAATGAATATGAAATTATAATTGTTATTTTGAAAAAAAATTATTCATGATCAATTCATGATTTAACCAGTTCCTTCAAATTAGGAGAGCATATTCAAATATAATCGCTCATTAAAATCAATTTTTATGTTTTTTTTTAAATCGAAATTATCTCATCATAAACCATGCAAACTGACTATTTGTTCTTATCACCATGTTACCAATATCAGAATTGTCTTTACAGCCAAAATTTCGCTCGATAAAAGTCCATCCAATAGTGAGATAATTGAGCAACGAACATTTTTCCATATCACAAAAAACCTCCCCGATGATTTCACTTGAAAAAATTTGACAACAATCATCCATTTGGAGAAACTGCAACCAACAATCAATTCCTAGTTCATAAGGACAATTCAACACTAAAATTCGAAGATGGTTGATTTCAAAAAAAGTTGAAGAATTTCTCCAACACGCGTAAGAGAAATCAGGAGTTGAAACCCATAAAGTTACAACCGCACTAACCAATGCATGTTGCTTAAAATATTAACTTGAAATTTATCCAAGTCAGTTTTCATTTTAATGTCAAAATGTATTAAAAATCCAATTTCTTGAACAAAGAAGTAAAGAATGGAAAAACATCCGTATTTTTCTAGTAAAAATAAAGCGTATTTAACATAAGCGGTAAACAAACAGATTTTTTAATAATAAAATTACATAAAACAATGAATCAAACAAATAAATAGTTAAGGACCGAGGATACTAATTCATTTCTTGTATTGATTTAACATCATCAAGCAATTTTTCGACGCTTTTCAATTGTTCCTGAAGATCTATATCATTTGGCGCTGGAGTAAAGGCAACAATCTTGTCATCACCATATACGTATTGAATTTGATGCTTTGACGTTAAATCGTTCATATATTCGAACAATTTATTTTCATCAAAGCATCCGCAGAGATCTTTGAGCTTTGAAATGGATAATCTTGATATAGTTCTTGAGCAGAATATAATATTGCGCATGATTTTCTCTTTTACGATTTCATCCCAGAAATAAAGATAAAATTTCGGATAATCCATTTGATTTTTTTCTGGAATTTTCCTTCCATCCCATAAACACATGGAAACAGGATCAATTTCGGCCTTTGGAGGTAGAACTCCGATAAATTGTTTTTTGGTATAATGATTTAAGAAACAAACAAGAGAAAATGCACTAATAACCTTCGGAATCATATCAGATTGACATGGTAAGTGTAAGCAGTGAAGTAAAAGCTTAAATGCATCATCATATTTGAATAACATCATATGGTTGATTCCTGAGTAGTAAAGTGAGAATGCAAACGACCTACGATGCATGTTTGGGGGAGGCATAACAGCAACAGGCTTTTTAGCCGTTGCTGCCAAGTAAAGATAAGGAGAAGTGAAAATTAAAGGATCAACTTCGGTAAATGTCTTAAGTATTTCTAATGCTTCATCTTCTTGATTACATAAAAAGGCTGCTTTGGCAAAAATCATCATCAGGCCAGTCTGATACTTCGGTTCTAATTCGCTAAGAATTTTGAACGATTTCTTACAAATTATGTATATCTGTTCAGGGGCATAGTGTGTGGGGACTGTAAATGCTAGTGCTGCATATTGAACAGGAGTAAAATTCATTTGACAATATCCAGCGACATTTGTTGGGGAAAATTGCTTGGTTAGATCATATGCCCATTCAGTTATTTTAGGTATATCATGAACTGTTCTCACTGATCCTATTGTTTGAGGAATACTTCGGAGAACATGAGCTGTCATTTTTTTGAAAAAAAAAAACTGGAAATTGATATTCATTAAGAATATACATTTCTGAATGAATACCTTATTGTTTTCGGTTTTCCTATTGTTATTTTAAGGATGCAGACCTGGCAATTCTGGGGTCATTTTGGCAATTCTTAAAAATTCTTAATAAATGAGCCTGATTTGATTTTACTTGTAGTAAATATGTTTCAGTGTCATTGCTTCAGCTTTCTTGAAGCTTATGGTAATTGGGCAATTCTCAATAACGTACAAATGCAAAAAAGTTTATGGTTGCCCAAGGGGACGATATGTAAACTACTCAAAATTAACCTTAATCATGTTGCAATGTGTGGAATAGAAAGTTTCGAAGCATCCAATATATTAACCTTAAAGGTGCTTTTCTGAGGGTGACTTATCGTCTCCCGCGCACCCTTAAGGTTTGGTAATTCACTCAAATCACTCCGAAAAAGAATTGCCTAAACCGTAATTGCCTTGGCAATTGTACGTTATTTTAAAAAGAGTTTACATTGAGTATCTCTAGTTTTACTATAACATATTACACAACATCACTAAAAACACAAATCCTTCGACAAAAATATCAAATGATTCAATTTCAAATATCAAATTTCTAAAAATCATCAATAATGCCACCATTTTATTTCAAAATATATAGAAACTAAAATATAGCATTCTCTTGCTTCTTTTAGACTAAAATAATGTAAAATTTACTAATTTTTTTCAAAACTTCACTTATCCAAGAATTGCCAAGCTTGGCAATTCGTGATGAACAAAATTTGCATTTTTGGCACTTCCGACATCCTTAGTTATTTTGCCATTTTATAGGAAAATCTTTATGATCTTGGTTTTCCAGTGTGAACAGGTAACGTAGAGTTTTCTCCTATCAAAGATATTTTATATAGTAATATGTTGATAATTGACTTTCAATTTTTTTAATGTCTGATCAAGACCTTCAGCCAACTACATACAGCAAATTGCGAAGTATCTATAAATATCACATCGATTCATGCAACGCATTGTATCAGCTGAAAACGGAAAAAGAAGAAGAATTAAACTCAATATACAAAATGATCAAAACAGAATTGATTGATTCAAATAAATTTCTTCCCCGAACAATTATGAGAGACATTTTAGCTTGCATTCGGTATAATAATCGCTATGCAAAGGCTTATTTATCTCTAGCCAAACTCATATATGATAACTATCAAGTAAAAGAGGAAATCAGAGTTCCATTAACTGTTAGATACTTATTTTATAAAGAATATGGGATTAAATTAGACAAATCTGATAATTTTGAAGAAATTCTAACAGAAAATCTCGAAATTCATACAGAAAATACAATTTACAGAGCAATTATGTATAATGACTTAATAAAATTCATTTCGTTCACTGAAAGAGAAGACTTTGATAAAAATCAAAAACTTAAAAGCAGTTTTTATCCAATTCCTTACGAAAGATATTCATTACTTGAATTATGCTGTTACCATGGAGCAGTTGATTGTTTCAAGTTATTAAGAACAAAATATAACTCAGAAATAACTCGAACATGTCTTCAGCTTTCATTTTTAGGAGGAAATCCAGAGATTATGAGTGAATGTTTGAAACGTCAAAAACCAAATGGAAAATGCATGGAATATGCAATAATTTCACACAACATTGATTTTGTTACATTCTTAATGAACTAATATAATATAGAGATCAATTTATTTACTTGTGGAAGGTATCATAATCTTGAAGCATTTTTAGTTTATTTCGACCAAACAAATGATTTAAACACATGTTTCCCTCATTCAACTGTATTTGGTATTACAACACTTTGCGAATATTTTCTTTCACTTGGTGTAAATATCAATGAAAAAGATAAATTTGGAGGAAATGCTCTTATTTATTCGACAAATAATAATTGCATAAAAGTAGCCGAATTTCTTATTTCACATGGCGCAAATATCAATGAAAAAGATGAATGCGGATATACAGCTCTTCATACAGCAGCACAATATAATAGTAAAGAAGTAGCTGAACTCCTTATTTCACAAGGCGCAAATATCAATGAAAAAGATAAAGACGGATTTACTGCCTTTTTTGATGCAGCAAAATATGATAGTAAAGAAGTAGCCGAAGTTCTTCTTTTACATGGCGCAAATATCAATGAAAAAGATGAATGCGGATATACAGCTCTTCATACAGCAGCACAATATAATAGTAAAGAAGTAGCTGAACTCCTTATTTCACAAGGCGCAAATATCAATGAAAAAGATAAAGACGGATTTACTGCCTTTTTTGATGCAGCAAAATATGATAGTAAAGAAGTAGCCGAAGTTCTTCTTTTACATGGCGCAAATATCAATGAAAAAGATGAATGCGGATATACAGCTCTTCATACAGCAGCACAATATAATAGTAAAGAAGTAGCTGAACTCCTTATTTCACAAGGCGCAAATATCAATGAAAAAGATAAAGACGGATTTACTGCCTTTTTTGATGCAGCAAAATATGATAGTAAAGAAGTAGCCGAAGTTCTTTTTTTACATGGCGCAAATATCAATGAAAAAGATAAAGACGGATTTACTGCCTTTTTTGATGCAGCAAAATATGATAGTAAAGAAGTAGCCGAAGTTCTTCTTTTACATGGCGCAAATATCAATGAAAAAGATAAAGACGGATTTACTGCCTTTTTTGATGCAGCAAAATATGATAGTAAAGAAGTAGCCGAAGTTCTTCTTTTACATGGCGCAAATATCAATGAAAAAGATGAATGCGGATATACAGCTCTTCATACAGCAGCACAATATAATAGTAAAGAAGTAGCTGAACTCCTTATTTCACAAGGCGCAAATATCAATGAAAAAGATAAAGACGGATTTACTGCCTTTTTTGATGCAGCAAAATATGATAGTAAAGAAGTAGCCGAAGTTCTTCTTTTACATGGCGCAAATATCAATGAAAAAGATGAATGCGGATATACAGCTCTTCATACAGCAGCACAATATAATAGTAAAGAAGTAGCTGAACTCCTTATTTCACAAGGCGCAAATATCAATGAAAAAGATAAAGACGGATTTACTGCCTTTTTTGATGCAGCAAAATATGATAGTAAAGAAGTAGCCGAAGTTCTTCTTTTACATGGCGCAAATATCAATGAAAAAGATGAATGCGGATATACAGCTCTTCATACAGCAGCACAATATAATAGTAAAGAAGTAGCTGAACTCCTTATTTCACAAGGCGCAAATATCAATGAAAAAGATAAAGACGGATTTACTGCCTTTTTTGATGCAGCAAAATATGATAGTAAAGAAGTAGCCGAAGTTCTTCTTTTACATGGCGCAAATATCAATGAAAAAGATGAATGCGGATATACAGCTCTTCATACAGCAGCACAATATAATAGTAAAGAAGTAGCTGAACTCCTTATTTCACAAGGCGCAAATATCAATGAAAAAGATAAAGACGGATTTACTGCCTTTTTTGATGCAGCAAAATATGATAGTAAAGAAGTAGCCGAAGTTCTTCTTTTACATGGCGCAAATATCAATGAAAAAGATGAATGCGGATATACAGCTCTTCATACAGCAGCACAATATAATAGTAAAGAAGTAGCTGAACTCCTTATTTCACAAGGCGCAAATATCAATGAAAAAGATAAAGACGGATTTACTGCCTTTTTTGATGCAGCAAAATATGATAGTAAAGAAGTAGCCGAAGTTCTTCTTTTACATGGCGCAAATATCAATGAAAAAGATGAATGCGGATATACAGCTCTTCATACAGCAGCACAATATAATAGTAAAGAAGTAGCTGAACTCCTTATTTCACAAGGCGCAAATATCAATGAAAAAGATAAAGACGGATTTACTGCCTTTTTTGATGCAGCAAAATATGATAGTAAAGAAGTAGCCGAAGTTCTTCTTTTACATGGCGCAAATATCAATGAAAAAGATGAATGCGGATATCAATAACAACATCAATGTTGTGTACAATAAAAGATCTAGTTCAACCGAATGCTATCTATAAAATAATTTTTTTGGAATTTTTTGATGGATTTTTTGTGGGAAAAAAAATCGTTTGCTATCATTCAAATTTTCAGAACTTTTAACGTTCATGAAAATTAGAATTTGCAAACGATTAAAGAAATTATTTGCAATTTGGACGGAGCTTGCCTACGGCCAAATTGTAAATAATTTTTTAAATTGTGTGGAATTATGAAAAGAAAATTATGGATTTTTTTTAAATTTTCAAATGTCTATGCAAGACTCTGATCCAGATAAATTCATTAAATTGGCAAGTAACTATAAATACTACATCGATTTATATAAAGCATTATATCAACTGAAAACGGAAAAAATAGAAGATTTAAGTTCAATTTACAAAATGATCAAAACAGAATTGATTGATTCAAAGAAATATCTTCCCCAAAATATAATCAAAGGTATTTTAGATATAGTTCCATATAATAATCGCTATGCAAAGTCATATTTATCTCTTGCCAAACTCATATCTGATGAATATCATGTCAAAGATGTCAGCAATGTTGAACATATTTCAAACTACCTGTTTTATAAAGAATATGGAATTAAGTTAGATAAGTCTGATAATTTCGAAAAAACTAAATCAGAAAATCTCGATATTTATACAAAAAATACAATTTACAGAGCAATTATGTATAACTACAATAAAAGTTTCGTCTACTTCATTGAAAACGAAAGATTTGATGAAACTCAAAAACTTGTAAGCAAATTTTACCCAGGATCTGATGAAGGATATTCATTACTTGAATTATGTTGTTACCACGGATCTGTTGATTGTTTCAAGTTATTAAGAACAAAATATAACTCAGAAATAACTCAAACATGTCTTCAGCTTTCATTTTTAGGAGGAAATCCAGAGATTATGAGTGAATGTTTGAAACATCAAAAACCAAATAATGGATGCATGAAATATGCAATTATTTCACACAACATTGATTTTGTTACATTCTTGATGAGCGAATACAATATAAAGATCAATTTAAAATGTTGTGCATTATATAATAATCTTGAATCATTTTTTGTTTATTTAGATCAAACAAATGATATTAACAAATGTTTCATTTATTCAGCGATGTTTGAAATCCCATCCTTATGCGAATATTTCCTTTCACTTGACACAAATATCAATGAAAAAGATAAAGATAGAAAAACTGCCCTTCATTATGCAGCAGAGAATAATAATAAAGAAATAGCCGAGTTTCTTATTTCACATGGCGCAAATATCTATGAAAAAAGTAAATATGAAAAAACATCTCTTCATTATGCAACAGAGAATAATAATAAAGAAATGGTCGAGTTTCTTATTTCACATGATGCAAATATTAATGAAAAAGATGAAAATGAAAAAACAGCTCTTCATTATGCAATACATTTTAATAATAAAGGAATATATGAATTTCTTATTTCACATGGTGCAAATATCAATGAAAAATATAAAGATAAAAGAACTGCCCTTCATATTGCAGCAGAGAATAATAGTAAAGAAACAGCCTTAGTTCTTATTTCACATGGTGCAAATATCAATGAAAAAGATAAAAATGGAAAAACAGCTCTTCATATTGCAGCAGAGAATAATAGTAAAGAAACAGCCTTAGTTCTTATTTCACATGGTGCAAATATCAATGAAAAAGATAAAAATGGAAAAACAGCTCTTCATATTGCAGCAAAAAATAATAGTCTAGAAACAATCAACCTTCTAATTTCACATGGTGCAAATATTAATGAAAAAGATGAAGATGGACTAACATCTCTTCATATTGCAACATTTAATAATATAGAAACCGCCATATTTCTTATTTCACATGGTGCAAATATTAATGAAAAAGGCAAATGTGGGTTCACTGCTCTTCATATTGCAGCATATAATAATTGTCTAACATTCGACATATTTCTTATTTCACATGGTGCAAATATCAATGAAAAAGATAAAAATGGAAAAACAGCTCTTCATATTGCAGCAGAGAATAATAGTAAAGAAACAGCCTTAGTTCTTATTTCACATGGTGCAAATATCAATGAAAATGGGAAAACAACTTTTTAGCATTCGATTCGTGGAAATTGTATAGAAACCATTGAATATTATCATCTTACGCGAAAGAAATTAATTAGGATTCAAGTTAGTTTATGATTTTTTAAGGGTGCACTTACCACTTTCTGACATGCTCAGATAATATCATCATTACTTTAATTTAATGGAAAAAGAGTATAATAGCCATGTTAGGAACTAAGCAGTGATAAATAATAACTTTTTCACGACAAAAAATATTAACTTTTTATTATATAAAATTGGGATATAAAGCTTGGATGTCAAAAAAATTGAGAGCATGTCAGAAAGTGGTAAATGCACCCTAAAAAAAGTTATAACCAAGACTTCAATTCCAATCCTTCCAAGTCTCACTCTGATCTATTGTCTTATTGCATTGTATACAAGTCCCAACGAATTCTTAATAAGTGATATACTCCTAAATTTATTTCGAAAATTCTATAGGGTGTCCAAAGGTGCGTTTAGCACAGCGCTCTATATGAGACTATTAAAGGAGATATATGCTGATTATAAATATATAATAAAAAATATGAATATATGTATATGATGAGTATGTTGTATTTTGGCGCCATGCCGGGATATAAAATGAATTTTGAGACAAGAGGCGGTTTCGCGGGAAATTTTGGCGGGTTTTTTTTCATTTTTTTAATGAATCATAAAGAAAACATCCTCGCTCTTGCAAAAAAATGCAAAGACTGTAAAAAAATCTACGAGACATTGGTAAAATGCTTCGGTATGGATGCTCCTAGCTATTCCACTGTAACGTATCATGTTAGGATGTATCACTTCATGAACAAAAAGACGCCCATCATAAAAATTGACAAAAAATCGCCGGATCAAAGAAAAATCAAAGCAATTCTTCAAGCGCTAGATGAAGACCCAAGAGCATCACTCAGAAGGATAGAGGAGATGACAAAGATACCACGTACAACAGTCAGTTATTATCTGCACAATTATTTGAACTACAAACTAGCGTATACACGTTGGGTTCCGCACAACCTTAATTCAGTTCAAAAAAAATCTAGAGTCCAATCTTCGAAAGAGCTCCTCTCTATATTGGGTGCGTATCAATCCAAGAAGTTTCGCTTTTTAGTAACAGGGGACGAGTCTTGGTTTCAATATGCAACAGAAGCCAAAATCATGTGGATCCCGAAGGATGAAAATCCGCAAACATTCCCGAAGAAAAAAATTGACACACCAATGATGATGTTGTCGGTTTTTTGGGGCGTGAATGGCATCATCGCAATTGATATTCTTCAAAAACCTAATACAATGAATGCTCAGTATCTAATTGACAATGTTCTTACTCAAATTATCAATTCTGATGAGTTTGAGAAATCCAAACAACAAAAACAAAAGTTTGCAATTCATTTTGATAATTCAAGAGTTCACAAAAGTCATAAGGTAATGAATTACTTGGTGGAAAACAATGTCAAAGTTGTTCCAAACCCAATTTATTCACCTGATATTGCACCCTCTGACTTTTATTTATTCGGCACGCTAAAAAAGAGAGCTGAAGGACGCGAATTCGCGAGTCCAGATGATCTTGAAAATTTTGTAAGAGAGCAATTTGAGCAATTTTCTCATGATGATTTAAAGCGTGTCTTTGAAGCCTGGATCGATCGCTGCGAACGCGTGATTGAATCCAATGGTGATTATATTTAAATAAACTTTATATATATGTAACTTGTTTATTTCTATTCGCAGTATTCAGGTTTGTGCTAAACACACCTTTGGACACCCTATATAATATCTAAAAATATCCTCTAAATTAATACGTCCATAATAAAATTCTATCTTATATTTTGCGTAATAATCTTTGAAATCGATTATTAATCAATTACATTCAAATTTATTTGAATAAACGCTTTTCCTATAATTAATTTATGTTTATTTTTCCGAAGGTGGCATGCTTGCCCTAAGCCACCTGAGTTTAGAAATTATATTTTAACAAATTTGATTTTATGGACTATAAAATTGTGATAAGCTTAAATCTTCATATTATATATATATATAAGGTCGATGAAAAAATGAGCGTTTTTAAAAAACCGCCGTTTGAGAGGAAAATTGAGAGCCCCAATGTATACTTTTTGACATTGTCAAAAACTTTGAAAGGACCAAAAAAGTTTTAGTGTCAGAAAGTTTACAAATGTATACTTTCTGACAAACAGACTCTCAGAAAGTACTCAAACTGCGGTTTTTAATTTCCGCACTTTTTTTGGCGACCTTATATCATAAAACTTTATTTAACTCTTTCGGGCAAAAAGAAACATGCTTGTCAAGATCTTTATTTCCTTTATTCTTGCCAAGATCTTTAGAAACATACGTACCAAAGTAGATATAGAAATTTATGATCTTCTATTACCTTGGATAATAGCAATTTCGAATTTCGAAATTTGAATATGATTCAATTTGATCATAAAATTTCATTTTAGCCCATATCATTTGATTACTCCGATAAATACAACAATTACATTAATGTCAAATATTTTTGTAAGATGGAACTTTTTTCCCGAAAACACGGGGTATTGGATCTCCGAAATATGTTCGTGTTCTCTCATTACATTAATTACATTGCAGTGTACTTAGCTGCACCATCAACAGATTACTTTTACAGTTATAATCCAAGCAATTTTGCTTTCTTTCTTTATACTATTAACTATTTCGTAAGTATGTATTTTTATTCACTTGCAGCTAAATCACCTGGTTATCAAAACACACCTAAACAGCCAAAACAAGAAAATGAAGATAGATTTTATTGCGAAAAATGCGAACATCATTGTTTATTAAGGTGCTCACACTGCAGTGCTTGTTGTGCTTGCATATTACGCCGTGATCATCACTGTATTTGGTTGGGCCAATGTGTCGGACAAAATAATCATGCGCACTTTTATATTTACATCTTTTTAGAATCGATAAACTGCATAGCGTCACTAATATTTACACTCAAAGGATTATTTTATAGATTTAAATATCACAATAAAAATTACAACGGATTCCTCTTAATTTATCTATTACCTTGGGCAATATATTGTTCTGGATTATCATTCCTAATTTTCTTGGAACAGACAAATAATATCTTGAATAATTTAACTGGATGGGAAGTAGCAAGATGGAATAATGTGTCATATCTCAAGGGATTTCCATATAAGAAAAGTCCTTTCGATAAAGGAGTCGTGAAAAATGTAAAAGAATTTTTCACCATGAGAGGTCGCAAACTTATATATCCACCACCTCGATTATTTTTATAATTACTGTGTTGTATTTTTTAGTAAATTGTTGTCTATCTTTACATTATTTTTTTTTTAATATCTTTAAAATAACACAAGATTTGGTAAATATTTGAATATTCTTAGTAATTCATTCCATGCTAGAAGCTCATCCAGAAAAGTTGTGAATCAAAAAGAGCGCCCAATAAATTTGAATGTTCAAAATTTTTTTTAAAAAATAATGTCAGAAAAGTTCCTTTATACTTTGCAAACTTTTGAACATGACAAGACATATTTTGATGGCATATTTGTCCTATATAATGTATACAATGGAAGTTTGGTATCAAATCGATTACTCTGCATATGTGAAAGTCTGTTAATGGGCTTAGTAAACCTTCTCAACTTGAATCTTGTAGAAATAGGATATGATCATAAAGATTTTTTGGAAATTATTATTTCTCTTAGAGAGGATCACATTTTAATAGTATATAATCTGCTAAATTCCTTATTTCAAGTGTCAATAATATCAATGCAAAAAATTGGGCTCCGTTTCATTATACAGCATCCAATAATTGTAAAACCATTGCAGAATTGCATGTTTCCCATTGCGAATATTTCCTTTCAAATGATTCAAATATTAATGAAAATGATAACCCTGAGCAAAACGCTCTTCATAATGCACCAATTAATAATAGTAAAGAAACCGCCTAACTTCTTATTTTACATGGTGCAAAGGTTAATGAAACAGTTAAAGAAGGGAAAAACGCTCTTCATAATGCGGCATATAGTAATAGTAAAGAAATAGCCGAACTCCATATTTCACAAGGCGCAAATATCAATGAAAAAGATAAATTTGGACAAACCGCCCTTCGTATTGCAGCATGCCAAAATAAAATAGAAACAGCTGAACTTCTTATTTCATGTGGTGCAAAAGAGTTTTCAGTTCTTACTCTGGCTGCTTGAGAGACTTACATTGAGCAATCATTTTTCTTCTTGATATCTGTAAGAGAATGGACGTTGGATAATTGATTGATGTCACTTTTTCATGACACGGCATTTTTATATCTATTTTAATATGCACTTATTCCATAAAACAGTAAAAATTAATAATCGCATTATTTTTCTAAAAAGTGACAAATCGATCAAAAATAACCTTTCACGGTGAGATTTAAGAACTGAAGTTTTTCAATTCTTACTATCCTTTTAGTTCTCCTATATCTCTTTCAATTCAAATTTGTTAATCAGGAAATAAGGAATTCAAAATTGACGAGAGTAGTAGGATAGGAAGGGTTGTGTGACTTTTTTTGTTACATCTATATATAGACGATGCATTAAAATATATTTATTTATAAATCATTAAAAAATTAACATTAATTTTAAAATAATTTATTTTTTTATCTTTTATAAAAGAAGCTATATATAGATGATGTCAGATATTCCGCGATTAATTAAACATTGTTTAAATCCTGAATGGGTTAAACTTCAATTTAAAAATGAAGATTGTGAATTATTAAATGAATATGAAAGCCAAAATAAGCTAATGAGGTATAAATATAATGATAAAGAATATTTAATTTCATGGAATCAATGGAGTCATAATCAAAGACCCCATAAACGAGAAGAAGAAATTGAAAATAATGAAATGGAAATCATTGATGACATTAAAGAGGATGGAATTCCTAAATTTTGTAGAAAAACCTTTAGAACTAAGTTAGGAGCATATAAACGTAGAGTATTAAATCCTGAATATCTTAAACATTTATTTAAAAAGGAAGACTGCGAATTATTAAACGTTAATGAATATGAAAATGCTAAATCAAAACTGAGATATAAATATATTGGAAGTGATGAAAGGTGTAAAGATAAAGATAAAGTTTATTCAGTTTCATATAATAACTGGCACACGTTAGGGATAAGAAAACATTTAGGAGATTATGGTAAAAGTTCTGAATTCTTCAAATCTAGTATGTACGAGAGAGTAAAAGAAATTAGAAATAATTATTTTCATGAATGAAAGATTCACTACCATAATGAAATACATAATGAAATAAAAAATAAAAAAATAAAAAAATAAACTTTAAAAATTCATGTCTTACGAAAAATTAAAACTTAGTTATGTTTATTATTTTATTTTTTTAATTCGTATGAAATGAGCGTCAAGACTAACGACGTTAAAAAATTGGGATTCACAAACGAGGAAATAAAGGATATATTAGATGAGATGTGTTATGAAGTTAGTAAATATTATTTAAGAAATTGTCAAAAATTTGCCGAGTTATTAAATGATTTAGATTATGATGGAAAAATGAATAAAGATGATGTTATAAATTTCTTATATCCCACATCTAAAGAAGAAAAACCTAAAGAACCTGATGTTTTCCCTGAATATTATGAAGAACGGATTAAAGATGATGAATACAATGAAATTGAAAGACTGGAAAAAATAAGAGATGAAATAGATGAAAAAATTAAGGAATTAAGAGAAGTTGAAAATGAAGTAGAGGGTTTAATGAATATCCCAGCTTCAGAATCAGAAGTTCAGAAATCTCATGAAGAAAGATATAAAAATTATGTCTCAGAATCAACACAAAATTTATTAGATGGCGAAATAGATGAAACACTTTCAGAAGAAGGTACTAAATTTATTCGTAAACATAAGTTACAATTTATTGATAATGAAAAATACCCTTGTATCTTACTTTCACCCCCTCTCGATTCTGAGAAATTCAAAAAAACTCTTAAAAACGTGACATATGCAACTAATACGATTAAGAAAGAAGATCATGATATTTACACAAATTATTATTTAAATAAATGCACAGGTGTTGATAAAGTTTTTGATTTATTAGATAAAATATCAAAAGAAACCATTGGAACCTATAAAATTTTGTGTGATTGTGGTTTCATTATTGAAGATACCAATAATGTTTCATATGAAAGAACAGCACCGAAGGAAGACGAAGTGGAAAGGTCTATACCATTCGTTATTAAGAACATAAAAGATATGAAAACTTATAAACATTATATTTATTCATTTATTTCAGAAAAAATGGAAGCAACCCATAAAACATCTTCTCATCATTTTATAGCTATTCATACATTCCTTTTCAAAGTTGTGAAATTAAATAAGACAGGAATTAGATTTAATGTATCAGGGTACGCATTCTTGAGTAAATTAAAATGTATTCGTCACGTCGCAGATGATAAAAATTTATGTGTTCTTAATTCATTTTATGGGCTTTAAAAAATAAACTTTATTTTTATTTATTTTTTAATTTTTATTCTTACATAAATGAACAAAAACGGAACAGCTAAAATGAATGATAATCAAATTAGAGCAGAAGGTAGAAGGTTATTTAAACGCTTCTATAACATTCCTGATGGTGTTAATCCTAAAACTCGTAGAAGTTATTTAAATGAAGCAATAGATTCATATGAAGGGTTTGACATTTCATCAGAAAGTGAGAGATTAGCGAGAATGTTAAATGTTAATATTGATTTCTATTATTGTGATCCTCAACCAGAAGACGTGGACATAAATAAGGTAGACTTTCCATTAGTGGAATCAATAATGATAGATCCAGAATTTGAAACAGTAAATATTTTATTAACACAGAGTCCATGTGGAAAACTTCACGCTGACAGAATAACAGACGTTGAAGCACTCACCGGCTATAGAGTTTGTCCATATTGTAAAGAAGAAGTTTATTCTATCCGTGATGATCCGGAAAGGAAAAACCAAAGAAGATTTTTAAAGCATTGTGAGAAATGTAAAGAAAATAATGGAAGATTAATTCAAGACGTTCAGTTGCAAAAGACACAGCAACCATATGCACCACATATTACGAAACAGAAGATATATCAGTGGTTATTAGCTCATAATTTGCAGGAATATTATCAACCGACAAGATATTATATTACTTTTGACTTCGAAACATTAGAGACTAAAGAAGAATTACAACTTTCTGAGTGTGCAACTTTGAACGCTTACTTAAAACCATTCATGGTATCATCAACGGTTAAATTAAATGATAAAACATATACGAGGAATTTTTGCTTAACTTCGAGTGATTCTTTTATTTCTGATTGGATTGAGTTTTTATTTTCAACCTGTTCATTAGTTGCTAAATCAAATATTGAACAATATGAAGAATTATTGAAGCCGCAAACGGCGGGGACTTTGTCTCATACATTAAATGAAAAACAGAAGGAAGCATTTAAAGAACTTCTAGATGAGGAATTCAATAAAGTGAATATCATAGGTTTTAATTCGGGAAAGTTTGATTTAAATTTAATTCTTCGTGATTTAAACACTGCAAAATGGAAAATAAAATCAATGCTGGGTTCATCTTCACAATTTAAGCAAATCATTGTAAAGAAAACAAACGTTCCATATGAATTGATATTTATTGACATCAGAAATTATATAGCGGGTGGGACATTAGACCAATTCACTCAAGATTTCGGAAATAATAAATCACGTGTTAAATCATTTTTCCCTTATCAATTCATCACATGGGAAAATTACGAAGAAGAATTATATAAAGAGGAACCATTCACTCAAGATTCATTTTATTCAGCATTAACCCAAGAAACTATATCAGATAGTGATTATCAAATATATCTCAATGATGCTAAAAACTTTAAGAATAGATTAGAATATTTTATTCATTATTGCAATAAAGATGTTGAAATTATGATTGACCCAATCGATAAAATTATTGAAGAAACATTTGTTTATAAAATTGATATGCTTCATAATCTTTCTTTATCATCGAATGCTTCAATGATTCGTTACGCTTTAGCATATAAAGACTTTAATCCTAATGAAAAATATCCTGAGGAAGAGATAGAATCAAGTTTTGAATTAACGAAAAAGTATTGGAAATATAAAATTGAATCATATAAGAAACAAGATGAAAAAGCAGAAAGGGATACTAAAAATAATGTTTCAATGGATGATTTTCAATACTATCACGATTTAATCCTTTCATCTAAATGCAAAATGTGTGGTAAAGCGTTTACATATGCAAATAAACCAACATTGGATAGAATCGATAATGAAAAACCACATACCAAAGAAAATTGTCAGTTAATGTGTTGTTATTGCAATGTCGTAAAATCAAATAAAGATGAATATGTTCAACGTTTAAGAATCAATTTAAGAAATTATGCATTAAAAAATAATTTACCAATGACTTTAGATTCAGTTGAAGCTTATCACATTCTCCGTAATGGAATTACTGGTGGTCTATCAAATGTTCAACATAGAGTAAATCTTAAAGGAATCACGCACATTAATAAACTTTCATATAATCCAGAAACTAAAACTGTATCAAATGAGGACACCACCAACATTATGACTCATTTCGTTGGAGTTGACTTTAATTCATTATATCCTTCATCATTTTCATCTAATCCTCATGATTTCATTCAATATACTGACCATAAAATGTATATGCCGGGAAGATTGAATGGTGTTATCATTTGTGATACAGCAACAAAGAAAGCAAAAGCACTGGGAATTATTAAGAAGAAAAATACTTTATTCGTGGCTGAAGTAAAGGGTCACATTGATGAAAAATACATTAATGATTACATAAACTTTTTACCGATAATAAGAAACTTAGATATTATCACAGATGAAAAAACAATTGGCAGTTTTATGATAATTACATGAAAATCAAACAATCTACCAGTTGACCAGAAACAGAGAAAATTAACTCAGTTAGCATCAACACACAACCAATATCAACCATTTTCTTCTTATTATCTATGGTATCTAATCGACAGATTTCATTTTATCATTGATGATATTCAATCAATTTTAACATTTACTAAAAACACTTGCTTTAATGAATTTGCGAACAAATTTATGAACGAAAGACAAAAGGCTGAATTAGAAGGAAATAAAGGAAAAAGTTTATTTTGCAAAATTTCACTTAATGGATCATATGGTTACGATGCAATGAATACACAAAATTACGCAAAGACTAAAATAATGAATGCACAGAAGGCACGCGTTGCATGTATGTTAAATAAGTTTAAAAACATAAGAGAAATAGGTGAAGATACATATCAAGTGATGCTTAAAGATAGATTTTATAGATGTGATACATGTTTACAAGAGGCATTCTTCACTTTAGATAATGCTAAATACTGGTATTTGGTTTTCATTTATGATTTTATGTATAAATGCATGGATGTTAATCGTTTTCATTTCATTGAAGGTGATACTGATTCATCTTATTGGGCAATCGCTGGCGATCCAAGTCTTCCTAACACTCAAGCATTTCAGGCGATTGTAACCGATAAACAATTTTATGATAAAAACATTTTCAAATTCGCACCTTTTGATTTCTTTTGTTTTGATGAGAAATTTAAACCTAAATTAAAGAATAAAGCTGAAGAAAAAGCACATGAGAAGAAGTTATTGGGTTTAGCAATTGAGAAACAAGGTGATAACATGGTTGCTTTATGTCCTAAATGTTATACATCATTCAACGGTTCAATTGATGGAAGTGATTTTAAAAAGATTGCACAAAAAATGAAAGGTGTTAGTTTACGACAAAATAAGCAATTAACACCTAAAAAATATTTGGATATAATAAATGATAAAGTGATATTTGATGGTCAGAATATTAATTTACAACTTAAAAACGGGTCAATGACTCGCTTAACAATCGGTAAGACTGCATTAACAGGAGCACACACTAAGGCTGTATGTTGTGAAAATGGATGTTGTATGCCATTTATTTAATACAATTTAAAATTTTATTTTTAAAAATGCCACAGAAGAGACAAAAGGAACCAAATCGATTTATACCAAATGGTTTTAACTTTCAGATTCCAAATAATCAACCACAACGAATTTTTTAAATCCCATCACAGCAACAACAACCGCCACCATTTGATACCGTTTTAAAAGAAGGAACCGTTAATGATGGGATTCAATATGTAAATAATGGTTTTGATACTATGATTCAAAGAGGTAGGCACCCTTAAAACATTGATTTTATTTTTATATAAATGGATAACGTAGATTTAAAAATTTTAATTGCTGATTTAGTATTTAATCAAAATTTTCTTGATTATTATGATTTAAAAGCATATCTCCAAAAATATGATAACAATATAACGGGTGATGATATGGAATATTATTATCCATATTATAAAAATGAAATTTTGAAATATCATGATAGAATAATTTCTAAAATTAAAGACAAAATTAAAAATAATGAATATTCAAAGGGAAAAACTAAATCACAACTTAAACAGTTGAAAGATTTCAAAAATAAAGTATTAACAGAAGAAGATATTGATGAATTATATAAATTATATAATCCTGAGCCGCAAAAGCCAAAGGAACAAAAACAAAAGGTGCAAAACACCCAGGTCCTTCAGACCATAAATGAAGCACAAGCTTTAATTTATGATTCATTAGTTAAACCATATTCAGCCCGACTTTTAAATGAAGATCAACTTTTGGAATTCATCCTTCAACATAAACTCGAAGCGGGAAAGTATATCAAACCTTTATATACAGCATATTTAAAACAAATGAATAGAATACATCCAGAATTAATGAAAGGAAAATCAACAACTAAAACTTCATCATCCAAAATCAAAGCAGATAAAATTAAACCACTTGCAACACCAAAACCTCCAACGACAGTACCGCCTCCTCCTTCAGTTAATCCTTCATCATTCACTTTATTATATCCATTTCAAACATTAAAGAGGCAAAAAGATTTTAAAAAGGATTTCAAGATATTAAATAAACCAATTGACCCGAAAATTCAACCGTTAAAGGAAAAATTTAGTCGCCCTTCATTTGCACCATATCCATATTCATACGAAATCGATCATCTGGAATATTCAAAAGGAAAAGTTACTTATTTATTTGCCATTAACATTAACACTAGATATTTATATTGCATTCCAGTGAAAGGGAAAACAGAACAGGAAACAAGAAGAGCTATACAATACTTACTAGATCATGAAAGAGTAGATAATATAAGGGGTGATGGTGATAAAGGATTTCAGGCAACTATGACTCATTATTTCCCACAAATTAATTTTTTCTTTTCATCCTCTCCATATACGTTTCATAATAAAATAGTTGATGCGGTAATGAGAACTCTTAGAGATGCGTTAGGGGTTAACGGTCAGATATACTGGGATGGAAATCATGACTCCATCATACAACAGTTAGTATATTATTATAATAATACATGGCATAGAACTATAAACATGAAACCAGTGGAAATGAAAAATGATATTTCAAAAGAATGGGAATATATTAGAAAGCAAATGGAAAGGTTGAATGATGTTAAACGTGAACAAATTAATTCGGGGCTCATGAATTTTAAACAAGGGGATAAAGTTTTGATTCATCTCGATTATGGAAAAACTGATAAATCAATGACAAAAAGAAGACGAAGATTTGACACAATAGCTGAATTTGTTAGATATATTAACGGCAATGCATTAGTTGAAGTTGACAATAAATTAATAGAAATTCCGATTTATTTTATTACTCCATTATATTTAAATAATATTTAATTTTTTTATTTCGTAAGAAATGAGTGACAACGAAGCAGCCAAGAGTCCAGACGATGAATATAAAAAGAAACTAAACAGAATTAAATCAAAAATATGCTATTACAAAAAGAAGCCGCAATGCGGTGGGGTTGATGCCCATAAAACTAAAGTAATTGAAAACGATAAAGAGAAGAAGGAAATAATTGAAAAGTTAGAAACTTACCGTTCAATCCTTAAACTGAGTGAAGCAAAAATAAAAGAATTTAATAGAATAAATAAATTGATTGGAAGAGATGAATTTAATAAAGATGAATTTTTAAACTCAATCCAAATTTAATTTTTATTCCTCTTCGACAATGTCTCGAATAACTGAGGGTGTCACTATGTCACCATGTCACTCGGTTAATTAACTTCTCTGAAAAAATGAGACAACATGACATTTTGACAACAACACAGGAGGAAGGCACTTATGAATTATTTTTGAATAACTGAAGGTGTCACTATGTCACCATGTCACCAGGTTAATTAACTTCTCTGAAAAAATGAGACAACATGACATTTTGACAACAACACAGGAGGAAGGCAGTTATGAATTATTTTTGAATAACTGAAGGTGTCACTATGTCACCATGTCACCAGGTTAATTAACTTCTCTGAAAAAATGAGACAACATGACATTTTGACATCACAGCAGGAGGAAGGCATTTATGAATTATTTTTGAATAACTGAAGGTGTCACTATGTCACCATGTCACCAGGTTAATTAACTTCTCTTAAAATTACTGACAACATGACATTTTGACATCACAGCAGGAGGAAGGCATTTATGAATTATTTTTGAATAACTGAAGGTGTCACTATGTCACCATGTCACCAGGTTAATTAACTTCTCTTAAAATTACTGACAACATGACATTTTGACATCACAGCAGGAGGAAGGCATTTATGAATTATTTTTGAATAACTGAAGGTGTCACTATGTCACCATGTCACCAGGTTATTTAACTTCTCTGAAAAAATGAGACAACATGACATTTTGACAACAACACAGGAGGAAGGCACTTATGAATTATTTTTGAATAACTGAAGGTGTCACTATGTCACCATGTCACCAGGTTAATTAACTTCTCTTAAAATTACTGACAACATGACATTTTGACAACAACACAGGAGGAAGGCATTTATGAATTATTTTTGAATAACTGAAGGTGTCACTATGTCACCATGTCACCAGGTTATTTAACTTCTCTGAAAAAATGAGACAACATGACATTTTGACAACAACACAGGAGGAAGGCAGTTATGAATTATTTTTGAATAACTGAAGGTGTCACCATGTCACCATGTCACCAGGTTAATTAACTTCTTTAAAAAAGTGTGACAACATGACATTTTGACAACACAGCAGGATTAATGCAAAAATAAATTCAAATCATACTTTATACTGCCTCATTTACAGGTATTTCATCATCAGTAAATGAATCCTCATTATCGTTTGGTTCAACCTGTTTATATAATCCTTTCATTTCTTCTTTCAAAACATAACACCATGTTTGTTTACCATCTATTCTTCTCTGTTTCTTATCACATTTATCCTTAATGCTCATTTGGAAATTCTTGTCTTTCATGTCTGATGGTTTGCAGAATAGAGCATTTTTACACGTCATACCTGCACACAATTCATCATAATGTGTATTTATCCATTCATCTAAAGGATTTGTTGATAATTCAATTAAATCTTGTTTGGCTTCAGTCATCGGAATGATTCGTACATTAAATGATGAAAGGTCATATTGCATAAAATACGTCAGTAAATTATCATAAAATTCCTTTGTGCATGAATCCATTAAATTCTTGAAGTAATCAAATTGACCCTTGAATTTACCATTAACTCTTAAAACTACGTATCTTCTGTCTCCAACTTCAATTTTGACAGGGTAGACGTTGTTAGTTACGAAAATGAAATTGGCAACATTCTGAGCAGTTCTTCTGGGTTGATTCTTTTCATTAATTCTAATTTGATTATCCGTAATAATTGATTTCAAAGCGTTGAAGTTTGCGAGTCTATCTTCACCAACATTCTTGAGTTCATTAAGTACAAGAAACATTTTATTCTCAACTACTGAATTGAAATTACCCGTTAGCTCACTTATTTCAGTAATGTTTTTACATGAATAACCAGCGAGGAGTTCAGAAATAATGTCTGTAAATCTGTTTTTACCTGTTCCCTGAAGTCCTTTCAAAATAATTGCTGTTTCATTCTTGATACCAGGATGTTGAATCATTGATGCAATCCAGCCGAGAAGGTATTTATACACTTCATCGTTATTATCACAAATGGCTTCTTTAATGAAATTCATAAACATCTCAATTTTTGAGTAATCTGGTTTTTCGAGAACGTTGTATTTATAACCTTGAAACGTTGAGAAAACATCTGGGGAATCAGATTTAAAGCAAACACCCTTAACAGTTAATGAAGACAATTGATTTAGTAGTACATCCCATGCTGTTATTGTTTTACCTTCTTCTTTAAATAATTTAATCATTTTAAGTGACTCTTTCATGTTTGATTGAAGAACGAATGATATTTGATTCATTTTGTCGTGGATATTATAGTCCTTTTGAATGAAATATTTATTTCCACAATCTACAAAACGGATTACACGTGATAAATCCTCAATTACTTCAGAACTGTTTTTATACTGATGATTTTCAGCCTTGCGTCTAATATCTGTTATCAAAAACGAGTCATCAAGTTTTATATCAAATGTTATTTTTGGCTTACGTAATAAAGGTAAAACGTATTCATCATAATATTCCTTTTGATATAGTTTTAGAATCTTCACCAAAACAAATGGAGAAGTCATTAAATGTGCATATCTACTACGTGCTTTTTCAAAATTACTTTTTGCATTTTCTGTTAAACTGCAGAAGTTATAAACGTTATCGTATGCTTCATTAATTAAATGATTAGGTAATGAATTAATAGCTTGAAACAGTGTGAATAATGTTATTTCTTTTTCTAAATTCATGTTTCCACCGTCATTATGTACTTCAAAATCACTAATACCATCAACTATGCTCTGGGCAAGTTTATCGTCAATGTTTACATCTTTGTTTTCATTCATGATAGTCTTTATTTCTTCGTTCTTTTGTTCAACTCTTACCTTAATATTCAAATCATTTAATATATCATTTACTGTTCTAGTTAATGTTGAATCATAACTTCCACGAATGAATGAGTATGTATTGATTGGTTCTGATGCATTCTTGCGAACTCTTGAATCGGCCATAACCACTAAAGAACGTTTTGAATCATCCATAGAAGTCATTATGTCGATATCATAATCATTGCAGGAATAACATTTAATCATTCTGTTCGAAACTGCATAGAAGAAATTAGTGTTACAATAAATGTGAAGACCTCCTGAAGCGGTTTTAACGATAACATCTTTATCCGAAAGTTTTGATAAAATATCTTTTCTAACTGTTTCTTTAAGTTCATCATTGTATGATTTATTGATATCAACATCTATAATCGTTAAATTTGATATTTTATTTACTAATAAAGCCATACCAGTTTTCCTTCCTCTTCCTCCATCGTGTTTGAGGTAGTTATGTAAATCAATCGTGTTTTCACCAATTCTTTCGTTGAGGGTTTTAGTTTCTGCCACAACTAATTCCTCAGCTAATGAATCAATAACTTTTTCATCAGAAACGATAAAGTTGCTGTTGTTGTTTGTTGCTGTCATTTATATAGGAATAAATAAATAAAAATAATTTTAAAACTAACTTTATTTTTGGGCTGCATCAAATTTTCATAAATGTTGTCAAAATGTCATGTTGTCATCATTTTTTAATGAAGTTAATTAACCTGGTGACACATGGTGACGTGGTGACACCTTCAGTTATTCAAAAATAATTAATTATTGAATGACCTAAATCATTTACTCACAATATTTTTGTACAAAACGACCCCAAGCTTTTAACTTCTTTTCTGCAGCTTCTAATGCTATCTTAGCGAGTTCATATTCTCTAAATTCTCTCTTTAAATTTTCTTGTTCCCATTGGTCTAGTTCGTATGGAGAATCTCTATAACCATAACATATCTCACGTTCATGTTCTAATTGTTTTTCACACATTTTTCTAACTTCTTGTTCGAACAAAGGTTTAGCATTCTCTACTGTATCTTCAAGTTCTTCTTCATCTAATTTCTCATGAACTTTCTTGTCTATGGAGTCCATAATATCTTTGACATAAAATGCATACTTTACAGAGCACCATTCAGCAACAAAATGAACGAGGTTAGGATGTATGTAAATACCTTTGAATTCATTTATAACACCCTTTGTAAGCTCATAAAATGCTTGTTTTGAGGTCGAGCCACTTTTGGCTCCACCGTATTCGTTCATCCAAACTCAAGAATTTCCTGCATTTTAGCACTATTGAGAAATCTGTTTAAATGGTTTAACTTTCCTGCTTCTCTTGCCATCTTTGTTGCATTAATGTAACCATCCTTGTCTCTACGTAAGACTTCAATACCGTTATAAGTGCCTTTTGTGAATGTTTCGCCATTAGATTTGTTCGTGAATGTTTTTGCTTCGACCGACATTACTGTTCTTACATACAAAATAAAAAATAAATAAAAATAATTTTAAAACTAACTTTATTTTTGTACTGCATCATATTTTCGTAAATGTTGTCAAAATGTCATGTTGTCTCATTTTTTCAGAGAAGTTAAATAACCGAGTGACACATGGTGACGTAGTGACACCTTCAGTTCTTCAAAAATAATTAATTATTGAATAACCTGAAAACATGAGACTTTGTCTCCGGACTCTTTGAGTCACTTAACGTAAACATTTATTTCCGCAGTTCATTACCTAATTAATTACAGACATAAAATATATTTAGTTCATTCGGTAAGCCTGCAAAGTAGGCTCAAGTGTGTTTAATGAATGCGGTAAGCCTTGACCCAAAGGTCTGGGCTCAAGCGCGTTTAATGAATGCGGTACCATGCGAATACAGTCACAAATGGTGGCATATAATCTTTACCCAAGCCTGTTGGATTTGTTGTGAAAGTATGGACATGATTTCCTCCTGGTTCAGTTGGTCGAAAAGTCTTTTTTGCTGCATTGTTATAAGATGGAGATAAAACATCATTGCCAGCTTCATATTCTGAGTTGTATAATGGGTGGTCTCTTAATGAGTGGATATGGTCACCAGAAAAGTTTGTAGTTCCTGTATGAGTGTGTGGTGGAAGGTTTGCTTCTTTAATTTTCTTCGAACCTCCTGTTTGCTTTGAATATCTAGCACAGTATAAGAATTTATCTACAATCTGCTTCCACGTACCAAAACCTAAAACACTTGCTGGATTTGTTGAGTTCATTGACGTATAAATAGAACCAACAGGATATAATGTTTGAAGTATTTCATTTTTCATGCTTGTAATCACATCATTTACTTCCGACTTCTTTGCATAATTTTCATCAACATATGTTTTATCTGCTTTAAGGTCTAAACATCCTGAAACCCATTCTGTATCAGCTTTAACTTTAAAAGTCTCAAATGTCCACTCATGATACCATTCAACCTTTTCTTTAATTTCATTATCTTTTTCATCTACATAAGTTTTATCTGCTTTAAGGTCTAAACATCCTGAAACCCATTCTGTATCAGCTTTAACTTTAAAAGTCTCAAATGTCCATTCATGATACCATTCAACCTTTTCTTTAATTTCATTATCTTTTTCATCAACATAAACCAAATTTGCCTTCTTATTTAACTCACTATCCACATATTCCTTATCTGCTTTCTTCATTATGTCGTTTAGGAAACCTTCTATGAATTCCTCATTTAAATTAAATCTTCCAATCTTCAAAACTTTAGGAAATGCATTTAATGCGTAATATCTCTGTTCTTCTGGTGGAATTGATGTTATATCATCCGTTATACCTTTAATTTTAGAATTCATAAATAAAATTTCTTTTATATTTGATATCACTGCACCACCTTTGCAAACGAATTCGAAATGTTCATTTTTCAATACTATCTCCAAATCTCCATATTTCAACCTTTGCGTTTGTTCTGCCATCTTTGAATTATATGCATATATGGCGTATGTAATGGTCTGAAGGACCTGGGTGTTTTGTGCCTTAAGTTGTTGTGGTTGATGTTGTTTAATCATTTATTATGATTTAAAAATAAATATTTAATCTGTTATCTCATCAGCTATTTTCTCTATTTGAAATTGCCATAATATTTCATTCATGAATTCTAAATCACAATCAAATAGGTCAGTTATTCTAAATTTAATATTTGATAAATCTTTTGAATGAAGAATAAATGAATTCCCGGATAATTGAAACGGATATGATAAAGAAAATGTGTTTAAGTTGATGGATAAAATGTTTTGTATTGATGGGTAAGAGTTAGGGTCTAATGTTTGATGTGAAAATCTCATTGGGGTATTAACTTTATCACATTTGATTAAAATGAAATTGGAACCAGTGTCAGAATACAAAACATCCCCAACATCTTTTTCAAAATTTAATATCCCCAACAATGAACGAAGATGAGGAGTACAAAATTTAATTTTCAGCGGAAATTTAATAAGGTTATTTATTTCATCAAGTTCAAAAAGTTTATCGGGTTTTGATTTAAAATTTTCTTCATACCATACGATAAATGATTCATTTAAATAACTTAAAATCATGTTAATATCCCATTTCGCTATCACATTATTTATATACATACATACGTTTTTTCAAGGTCATCTTTAATAAATGATATATAATCTGAAGGGTCTAAAAGAATGGGATTAAATTTACCACTCACAGAAACGAGAGTAACATTATAAATTCCGCTAACTGTTAAATTTAATTCACAGTTATTATTCGAAATAATATTGATAATTGACATTTTTATTACGATTAAAAATATGGTAAAGCGTTATTTTCCAGTGATAAATAAAACTAGAATAAGATTACCCAAGAATTCATAAATTCAACGAATAAGAAATTCATTCATGTTATAAATTTTTAGTGTTTTCAGAAAATATGAGTCAATGTCATATTCATCAACAGGTTATATTTTCACTTCATTCAAATTTAGTTCAATCAAACCCATATAATGACCATTTCATAAGATTTTCAGATGGTATTAAAAATGTAATTGATAGATTAAAATATGAACAGATTGACAATATCGAATTTTTGGAATTTTGGTTTAAATATCCCGATGGAAAAAAGATTGAAGTTAAAGATAAAGCTGATACTATAACAAAAACAATTACAATGACCGATCCGGATAGTGGGGAACAAAAAGAAATAAAACAAACGATAGAAACTGGTGAAAGGTCAATTATTATTGATTATGATTCAAAGGATTATTATTCGATAATGTTAATGCTTGAATATTAAATAGCCTTAACAAAGAATTTTTCAAGTGATATTTTATATTCATCAACTATTTTATTATAAATATCATTATATGTTAAATGAAGTTCAGTTGTTGTTCCGTTCTTTGATATCTTAATTGTGCTAATATCCTTTATAGGATTTATTTTTGCAACTGTTCCGCAGCATGAAACCTCATCATCTATGAAAAATTGAATCTTAACGTCTGAATCTTGAACATCACAAAGAATGGCGATAATGTGAATTAATGATTCATAAGGTAAAATAATTAAAACCGGATTGATCAATTAAATTTATTATTGAATCATAATTATTAATTATTATATCACGGTAAATTTTCATTAATTCAGAATTAATGTCTATTTTATATGGGTTCTCGATGTTTGATGAAAGAGGCGGGGGGTATGTTGGATAAGTGGGAATTTCAACAGGTTCTTTACCAGGTTCAGATAAAATGATTGGGTCTCCATTCTCATGGTTTTCTTTATTCTCCTCATTCTTCGGTAAGTCACGAGTTAATAAATTTGGTTGAGTTGCTGACCTTGTTAATTCGGGCTAACATTAACTTTAACATTTTGAATAATTCGTGATTTATCATCATTTACGTTATAACCAACCGTAATCTCTGCTTTTGCGTTAGTGTTCTTTTGACTAGTGAAACGTCTTCTCATTTATAATCGAATAAAAAAATATATTTAAACTTTTATTTGCTGGAACTTTTGAATCTATTATTCCCTGTATTTGTTCATGAAGTTGATTTTTAGCATTTTCATCGAAATTAATAGACCGAATATATTCATTAATTGCATTCTTATAATCATCTGATTTCTCAAATTTTCTTTTATCTGATTCCTTAACTAAATCATAAGTTTAAACCTCGTTGCTGATATAATGGTTTCTTAATTAAATCTTTGAATGCTTGAGATAAAGCACCTGATGCAATTCTTGCTACTATAATTGGTTGGAATTGCTGTTTAAGTTCATCTTTAACATTTGCGAAAACTGGATCGAATAAAGCAACTTTAAAGAATTTCTTAGCTGAAATTTCAGGTCTAATATTTGCATATTGACCATCAAACTGGTTAGAATATCGTGGTAATCCATCCGGTCCCTCTTCAATAGCATTTAATTCTTCATTGAAATAAGAATATGGATTATGACGGTATGAATTAATTGGACCATTTTCACCTTCTCCAATGTATTGTTTAACAGCTTTTCCATTTTCATCAAATTGCATAGGATAACGTTCATTATATGCTTTACGTTTAGGATAATCAGATATAGTTAATTTATAACCATTTATGACTTTAATATTACCTTGACCATCAGTAACGAAAACTTCATTTATACCATCAGGTTTTCCATTTGGACCCGTAATGTCTGCTTCGTGTGCTTCCCAATTTGGACCATGACGTTTGGCATATGCTTGAGCTTCTGGTAATGTTAAAACGTTTCTCATTTGTTTAACATCTTTTTGAAGACCAGCAACAATATGAACTAATTCTTTCATTCCATCAGGAACTTTCATAGTTCTATTATATGCACCCTTTTGTTTGTCCCTTGTTTTAATGGAACCTGTAGAAGATTTATTTCTGTCATGTTTAATTATAAATAAAAAATAAAAATTAATTATAAAAAGTTAATCAAATTTAACACTTCCTTTATTTAAATCAACTATTATTTTTCCATGTTCACCTAATTGCTGATATTGTGTGTAAAGTTCATTAATGCTCATTGGTAAATTCACTTGATAAAGCATAACGTTCAACTGTTGACGACTAAACCCACTGAAAATGAAAAGTGTTGATAGATTTGATTTAATGTTTGTGCTTAATGCTTTGAAGTATTGAACAGCCATAAAGAATGAACACTGAATGTGTCGACATTGAGTTAATAACTGATTAAAATATGATTTCTCATTTGTTATTAGTTTTGATTTCACTGCATCATCTAGAAAAATGAGTGAATGCAAAAATTCTCTATCAAAATTTGAAATAGAAAGTGTTTCAAATAATTCATCCCGTTGTTTATCAATAATTTTATCCTCTAATCCTTGCTTCTTGATTGTATTATATAATTCTTTATACATTAAAAAGTTTTTTAAATAATCTTCTGCTTCTTCTTGTGATAAATAAATAATTGGAATTTTGATTAAATGCTTTAAAGATTCAAATGTATCATCTGAAGGTGAACCTGAACGGTTGATATAAATTAACACATGTGAATGGGGGAAGTGTTAGCAATAATGATAATTTGTTTTAATATCGTTAATGTTTTACCTTTATTTTGTTTACCAATTGCTGCAGTGATTGAATTTAAGTAACATTCAGAATATGGAATTTTCATTAATTTTTCCTTAGATAGAGCATTTCTATTATCACTCAATGCTTCATTAATCATATCATCTACGTATGTATTATATACTCCCGCTAATTCTTCATAAGGGGTGGATGAATTTAAATCCATTTAATCAAAAATAAATTTATAATTTTAAACATTTCTATTCATCAATATTTCATCATATGAACTTCTATACTGTGGTGGTGTACCTGTTGGATGATATTTCAAACCTTCATCCGGTGTCCATGTCCAATACGTAGTCCTAGTAAACCAAACCTGAGGAGGATTTGTCACCTTTGAACAGTAAGTGTCATTTTCACCCTGAATGATTGGATAAGCTTTCACTTGTACTGTAACTTGTGAGTTGAAAGTTTCTAATCCATCAAAGAATATACCCGCTCCATCACGTTGAACTGGAATAGTGCATAAGAATGAAGTTTGGTCTTTCCATGTTCTAGCTAATGGCGTGCCATCATCTGCATTCAGTGGTCTAGTTAATGAGTCCTCGTATTCTTCCGTGCATTCATTCACTCCATCTAAATCAGAAGCTTGAAGCATACGTGTAAAGAATATGTCACCCACTGTGGTCATCGCTTGATCGGGGAAGTTTCTGGAATCTATAGTGACCTGAAGACCTCGAAGCATTGGATTTTCTAAAACCGTTCTTTGCATTGCATTCTTCGGAAATGCTAACACAACATCTGTAACATTATGAAGAGCGTATGAGAAATCTGAGCTAATACCTTCAGGAGTGATGCAACCTCCATTTAGTGAACGAACGTCAATATGTTGAGCTGGAATCATGAATGGATCTTCCTTACTGAATAAACGTGGTATTGCTTTAACTGATTCTTCAATTAAACCGTATCCTGGTGTAATGCATTTATCCTCTAAAACTTCCATCTTTGTGCATGAAATAATAACGTCATCAACTGTTGCGTCAGCAGATGTAGCGGCTAAGCTTGTAATTAATTTGGCAGGAAGTCCGATTTGTTGGAATTTGCGATCATATTTATAAACATGATTCATAATCTTTTCATAATTTTCATCAGTTATCTTTTCATAAACGTAATTTTGTAAATCAGCAACTCTTAACGGGTCAACCTGACAAAATACTAAAGTATCCCTGAAAACATAATATTTAAGAATGATTCACCAAATGATTTAGGATAATCATCGAACGCCTGAAATGCTAACAAATCATTTACCGGAATAATCATATCAAAAGTGACATCAACTTCTTCATTTGCTTCTTGAAAACTTCTGAAGGGTCAATATATTTACCACATACTGAGTTATCATATTTTTGAACATTATTATATAACGAATGAACAAACTTTTTAACTTTCCTTTCTGATTTTGGTTTATATGTTGCAAATGCGAAAGATTCACGGGCGCAATCCATCTGAAGATAACCGGCATCACCTCTTTCGGTTTCTACTTCTAATTGTTTAAAGCTTTGATTTGATGATTTGTAACCAACGAATAAACGCATGCATTTAAAAGCGGCATCACATGTGAAAGCTTTATTTGAAACTAGAGTTGCTTTAACTTTGCGTTTAATATATGTGTCACCTAATTGGTTCACATCATGAGCCGGATTTGTAATTCTTAAATGAGTTTGTTTATCATCAAAATATGGAGCATCAGAGTCATAGCATGAACTTTCAAGTTCTCTATAATATCTTCTACCGTCATTCTTTGCGAATATTTCATTTATCTTTTCGAATGAATGAAACACATTTCCATTAATCGGTTTAGTGTTTGGCACCAAATAGTTAGTCGTCATTTATTATTAAATAAAAAATCAAAATTAAAAGATGAAAATGAATTTTTAATTTTAATGAAATAATCAACTATGGCGGCAGGATTCTTTAAAAAATTATGGGATAAAGTAAAAAGAGGAGCGCATAAAGTTTGGGAAACAATGAAGAAGGGAGCAAATTGGATATTTAAGAATAAAGAAGCAATTAGTGACGTTGCTGAATCAATAACACCAAAAGCCGCCCCAATAAGAGAAATATTAAATAAAGGAGAAAAAGTTTATCAAAGACTTCAACCGATACTAAGATAAAAATAATTTATTTTTCCACTATCTACCTCCTATTTTATTAAGTATTCCTTCAGCAATTCCACCAACTGCGTTACCTGCTTGTGCTCCCATCGCCGGATTACCTGCTTTAGTACCTAATACCCCACCTATGATATTTCCTGCCGTTTTCGCTACTGGTGCCAAAAAGTTTGCAACGGGTTTAATAATCTTTTTATAAACCCAACCCGCAGCTTTCTTAATTCCATCCCATATTTTTTTAAAGAATCCTGCCGCCATTTCTGATTTAATATTAATTAAAAAATATATTTCATCACTTATATTCTAATTTTTATTTAATGATAAATGAAACCAATTTTAAAAATAAATGAAACAGAGAAGGAAGAAATAAATGAAAGTGAAAATGTTCAACAAAAAATAAACATTGTTAAACCAATTACTGAAATAAAAATTTTTTCATCTGTTGAAGAATTTAATGACTATTATGCTAATAATAAAAAATTATTTGAAGAATTGACAACGTGTAAATTGAATAAAATGTTTAAAGTTGATGGATTCAAAATTTCAAAAATAAAAGGAGTGGTTAGTTTGAAATCTATTCCTCAATCAAGAATCACCTCATTAATGAAAATTGATGATTTAACAAAAAGAATAGAAATTATTGAAGAAAGAATAAATCAAATAATTGATATCATAAATTCAAATAATCATTAATTTTTTAAAGTTCAATGTTGATTCTGAGACATGAATTTTTAAAGTTTATTTTTTTATTTTTTATTTCATTATGGTAGTGAATCTTTTACTCGTTTATGAGGTCTTTGATTATGACTCCATTGATTCCATGAAATTAAATATTCTTTATCATTATATTTATACCTCATTAGCTTATTTTGGCTTTCATATTCATTTAATAATTCACAATCTTCATTTTTAAATTGAAGTTTAACCCATTCAGGATTTAAATGATGTTTAATTAATCGCGGAATATCTGACATCATCTATATATAGCTTCTTTTTTAAAGATAAAAAATAAATTATTTTAAAATTAATGTTAATTTTTTAATGTGTTTAGTATATAAATATTTTAATGCATCGTCTATATATAGATGTAACAAAAAAAGTCACACAACCCTTCCTATCCTACTACTGACGAGAAACAAAACAATAAAGCAAATTTTCATGATATTAATTTAAATAATCGTTTAAAAGCACTTTATTTTTCAAGATTTTATAATCTAATTTTTGACGCATATCCAATAATATTTTTTACAATGAGCTCAAATGATGATCTTTCCAGGTTTGTGATATCAGAAAATGATTTTGAAATAGGCAAACTCCTTGGAAAAGGCTCATACGCTCATGTCTTTGCTGCTAGAAGCAAGACAACAAAAGAAATTTTTGCATTAAAGAAATTTCATTCAAATTTCACATCAAAGAAGAACAGAATGATGTTTGAGCGTGAGGTAAGCGTAATGGCTAAACTCATCCACTCATGCGTTCTTGGTTTACGCGGATATTTTCTACCTCCACCAGAATCGGATTTATGTCCATTGATTTTGATGGATTACATGAAAAATGGCGATTTATTTACAATTCTCGTTAAAGAGTCTAAAAATAAAGTGCAATTAGGCTGGGATAATACGAAAAGAATGATGAACGTATTTGGCATCGCATATGGCATGGCACACATCCATGCATGTGGTGGAATTCATCGTGACTTAAAGCCAGCAAATATTATGTTAAATGAAAATTTCGAACCAAAAATTGCCGACTTTGGCTTAGCAAAAATCGAAGAAGATAATAATCTACAATCAATGATTGGCGGATCTCCATTCTGGATGGCTCCAGAACTCTTCCTTGGAGAACAATATACAAATAAGGTTGATGTTTACGCATATGGCGTTCTCTTATACCAGCTGCTTACAGATTTAATACCATTCGATGGCAAAATAACTACAATTGCCCTCGGAAAGAAAATTACTTCAGGAGAAAGACCTCCAATCCCAGAAACGCTTCCAACATTCTATTCTGAAATAATTACCGCTTGCTGGGCACAGGAACCGGAAAGTAGACCAACATTCGAGCAAATTTATCGACATATACTTGAAGCTACGGACTATTTTCCAAATACAAATGTAATGGAATATCGCAGCTACGTTGCCAAGGTCATGAACGGTGACAACAATACATTCACAGGTTCAATCGGCGATCCATTTAAAGTAGGAATGTCTTTATACGAGAAAGGCGATTATCAAAACGCCAGTGTCGAGTTCGAGAAGGCAGCAAGAAGCAACAACATAGAATCTTTATACTACTTAGGTAAAATGATCATTGATGGAAAAATAAACAATTATGATAAAATTCAAGGCATCAAATTCCTCAAAAAGGCAGCAGAAGGCGGTCACGCGGAAGCCCAGTATGAATGCGGTATGGCTCTTTACAAAGGAGAAGACGTTGGCTGCAATAAAATTATGGCCGCAGAATTTTTCAAACAAGCAGCCAAATCTTACCTTCCAGGCGCTATCATTATGCTCTCTAAAATGCTTCTCGTCGGAGATGGAGTCGAAATGAGCAAGGCAAAATCTAAAAAATTATTACAAATTTTGGCAGATAAACAGAACGTGGAATGCGCATTCATTCTTGGCAAGTATTCATATACTGGAGAGTTTGGAGAAAAAGATTTGGCTACCGCGGAAAAATATCTCGAATTTGCAGCAAATTCTGGCAATTCAGAGGCCAAAGCACTATTAGACCAAATAAGAAGGGAGAAACAACCACCGAAATCAGCAGATTTCCAATTTCCAGCTCAAACTCAGACATTTTCTCAAAATCCATTCTTTGCAGCTCCATCTTATAATCCACCACCTCAACAGACATTACAACAAGTCCCTCCACCCATGAGCCAACAACCAGATTTCGGATTTGGCCGTCTTTCGAACGTTCCTCCTTATTCTAGCTCTGCCAATCCATTTTCACCGGCCATGTTTGCTCCAAATGCAGCGTCATTTGCTTATCAGCAGAATATTACGCCAAATCCTCAACCAGATCCATATCAAAATAATCAAAACGCATTTTCACCTCCTCAATCCCAGGATCCGATGTTTTCTGCACAGCCACCGACAAATCCATATGGACAACCACCAAATGCAGTACTTTCTCAGCCAAATGCTCCTCAATTTGATCCATTTGGAGTAAAATCACCACAATCAACTCCATTATCACCAGCTCCTCAACAACAACAGTCATTTACTCCGAAATCCACTCCAGGACAACCCGTTTTCCTCAATTTCGGACAACAATCCCAGCAATCTTCTCAATTAAACTTTTCCTTTCTTAGCGGACAGAGGCAAACATCACAAGAGACATTAATACAGACTCCTCCACCTCCAGCAGAGACCAGATCTCCTCCAAAATCTACTTCTCAAACAAATCTTTCATTTGACATTTTCCAGAATTCCATGAACCCACCAAGTCCATCAATATCCAAATCTCCATCCCAGGAGATCAGCCAAAGCTTAATTTTGAGCTCATCAAAACAATTATCTCCTGAACTCAAGAAGAAAGCCGAATCAGGAGACATAAATGCGATGTACGAGTACGCTTTAATACTTGCTGCAGAGTCAAACAAGTACAGCGCTCAACAATCCGCAATTTACATGAAAAAAGCTGCCGACAAGGGCCATTTAGAGGCCAAATACCAATGTGGCAACTACCTTGTCCGCGGATTTGGCACGAAACAAGACTTATCAAAGGCTGCGATCTACTTTTACGATGCGGCCAAAAATGGTCACTCGGGCGCAATGCTTGAATGCTCTAATTTCCTTTCCAACGGTATGGGCGTTAAGAAAGATCTCCGAAAAGCCGCTTACATGTGCAAATTGTCCGCGGAATCCGGAAATGTAGAAGCAATGTACACTTTTGCCAACATTGTAAAGAACGGACAAGGCGTACAAAGCAACAGTGTTGATGCCCATTCATCGTTTGTCTTGGCTGCCGACAGAGGCCACGTAAAAGCGATGTTAGCTGCTGCATATTACATGTGGACTGTTGAAAAAGACCTTCCAAAGGCCTTAAAGTACTACAAGATGGCCGCTGACCAACAGGACTGCGACGGATTAAGTTCCTACGGCCATTTCCTTGCAGAAGGCCTTGGATGCAACAAAGATCCAGTGAAAGCAGCAGAATGCTTCAGAGCGGCCGCTTTAATGGGATCTACATTAGGCATGTACAACTACGCCGTCACTCTACAGACAGGAAATGGTGTAGAAAGGGACATTACTTCCGCTGCAAAGTTCTATAAAATGGCCGCAGACAGAGGTGATGTAGATGCATGCATACATTACTCACAGTTGCTGGCAACAGGATGGGAAGGGAACCAGAAGGACTTGCAGCAGAGCGCAAACTACGCAAAGAAGGCTGCAGACTTAGGAAATCCAAGAGGAATGTTCCAGTACGGAAAAATGCTGTGGTACGGAACAGGTGTTCAGAAGAGGGACCAACAGACAGCGGCTTCTTACATTAAGGAGGCTGCTGCTCGCGGATATAGTAGAGCAATCGATTTCTGCAGAGAAGCAAACATTTAAAATTATTAGTTATAATTTTGTTCTTTATAAATATTCAAGTTTATATTAATTTTTATTTTTCATCATATACAACAATCTCAGAAGAATATTACCACTGTTGGTTATGGTTCTTGTGCTACATTTCATAAGTTTGTTGAATGGAAAAATTCTCCGAAACCGATAACTAACATTCCATTATTCATTAAATTTTTGGTCTTTTAAAATGAATTATGTAGATGGACCATGAATGAAACATATAAAGGAGAAACTTAAACATATTTTCAAGTTAAGAAACATATTAACAGGTACCTTAATATGAAATTGAAATCATCTTCTCATTATTGCAAGATAGGAGCAGCAATAGAACCTAGATAGGCTAGCAAAGGGTTGCTAAGATAAGAGATGTTCAGAATTTTTTTTCCAGAGAAAGGGGGTTTTGATCAAAATTGAATGATCCAAATCGGTGCAAAATGATTGATATACAAAATATGTGGAAAAGTATAATGCGAAATCGTTTGAAATAACATCAACCACCAAAATTTTTGTCAAAAATCGGGTAAAATTGTTAAACCTTTCAATTTTTCAATATCAATTAATCAATAACCGGATATCATAGTGATAGAAAGATATATGACCTACTGTATCATCAAAGCTTTAAAAGGATAAATTTGATATTCGATCCACCACTAAACTTTAGTTCAATTCTTTGGAAATAAATGATATTTAGATACTCTGGCTCTGTTTTCAATTTTACACTTTCAGCAGGTACATATATCTTTAAATTATGGGGTGCCCAGGGAGGTTATTGGAATAATAAAAGATCCGGTTTAGGTGCCTACTCAGAAGGTGTTTTTAATGCTACATCTGACATTATATTATATGGGTATGTTGGAAAACAAGGTTCATGTTCGAGCAGTATAGTTCTTCTCAAAAACTTTTTTGGAGGAGGAAGTAATTGTCTTGGATCTCTAAAACGTAGGTCATGCTCTGGTGGTGAATCAACAGTTATTGCTTTTGATAGGGAATTTGATAATCCTCTAATTGTTGCCGGTGCTGGTGCAGGCTGTGGGAATCATGATGAAAATGAATACGCCGGCGGTTTTGGAGGTCCATTTGCCGAAGATGGATATGGAAATGCAGCATGGTTCACAGAAGAACAAGCTAAGATCCTTCGCGGTAAAGGAGCAACGACAGCCCAACCAGGTCTTGGAGGATTTTATAGTGATTTTGAGCGTAAGAGGCCAAATTGCTCTGGCTGGACTGGATCAAGATATCAAGGCGGTGATGGCAATTGCACATCGTTGGCGTCGGCTGGAGGTGGTGGATCTGGTTATTACGGCGGTGGTGGTGGGGCTGATCTATCGGGAGGAGGTGGAGGAAGTAGCTACGCATCTCCTCAGATGTTTAATGTGATGCTTTATGGAGGTGATAAATTTTTTATGGACGAAAATGGAAGTATTACTCAAGGACATGCAGGTAATGGAGTAATATCTATCGAAAAAACCAAACCTTATACATTTTTAAAGAATGAAGTAGAAATTCAGAAATATGAATATCCAAGTATGATAAAAATATATGATAATCCTTATGATATTGCTGTTACAATATTCACTACACTTCATGTAAGTACATCTTAGCATAATTTATTATAAAAAGCCAAAAATTTTCAAATCTCAAAATTAATCTAGGTAAAATTTTAACAATATTTGGATTTACATTTGTGCTGTTACAGGTGCACTTTTCAACGAAAATATGCCATTTCTGATTTTGTTCCCACCAACATCTCAAATTATTTTCTTCTAACTTCAATGGGACTAAAAGACAATTGGTGAAGGTATAATCATGAGTTGTGTCAACTTGATCAGTGTTATGATACCTAGTTTAAGTGTTTCAAAATCCCACGGAATAGACATATTTCAATCTTAAGGTAATCAATATTCCGTCTAGTGTTGTCGATGTTGGCTCAGATGCATTCAAAGAGTTCACATTTATTTCATGCGAATGTGAAATTAAGAATCAGAGTAAATACAAACTTCCCAAACGATTTGTTCTCGATTTTGAACCATATATTCATGTGGCATCAATTATTCATTATTTTTTTGTTATGCTATTGTAAAATAATTGATTTTGTATTGATAATATGAATAACAACTCTTTAATAACACTGAAATATGTTACTGATTATACTTTTATTCAGTGTTCAAATTTGAATTCATTTTCTATAGATGATAATAATCCATATTTTTCTATTGAAAACAATTTATTATTCAGAATAGATATTGCCAGACATTCTCAAACTACGATATACTATTAAAGTAAAGAAATAATTACAGCGGTTGGAGAATTTATGAATTATTTCCATAAATTTGTTGGATGGAATAAACTATTTATTGATAATGTATTCCATTCATATGCAAATTTAGTAATTGTTGATCAATCTATGATTCAAATTGTATCCTTTAGGCAGACAGCATTTTCTTATTGGAAAAATTTGAGAGTTTAAATCACATCTTGTTCTTTTTCACAAATCCCTAAACTTGTTTCTATATCAATTCCTTCTTCTGTAACTGTATTGAATAATTCATATTTCAATGAAATGAAAAATTTGAAAGTTGTTTGTTATTATGGGAATGTTTCATTCTCAGGAAGGAGTTTGTTTTATAATTGTCCAAGTGTGAAATATATTGGTGTTTGTTCACTTTAAATCTTATTTAGTTTTCATTTTAATTTGATATTGAAACTTGGCAAATTGTTTTCATAAAACAATTATTTTTCTTGAAATGTTTACTTTTATGTTTCACCTCATAGATTTTAGTACAATAAGTCATATTCATAATCAAATTATTAGAACAATATCCATCAATGATTGAGAAGTAATTTATTATAAAACACTGATTTTTTTATAATAATATAAACACAGAATAAGACATAAAGTGAAAGATCGATGAACATGGAATATTTTTAATTGATGGACATGTTAGAATAGTTTCACCAAGTTGATATGCATCATATGAAACATCAAATGATGAAAACTTATTTGATGGATATAATGAACAAACACGAATATATTTCATACTTGGACAATTATAAAACAAACTCCTTCCGGAGAATGAAACATTCCCATAATAACAAACAACTTTCAAACTTTTCATTTCATTGAAACACGAGTTATTCAATACAGTTACAGAAGAAGGAATCAATATAGAAACAAGTTTAGGAACTTGATATATTGCTCTATATTGAATTTCTTTTAGAAATGATGGTAAAATTATCATAACTAAATTAGGGCAAGAAAAGAAATTTGATTGTTTCAGTATTTCAATTTTTGTCAAAGATAAATCAACAATTTCTAATGATTTAGTTCCATGAAAAATTGCTCCATCTATATTTTTTAAATTTTTCCAGCCAACAAACTTTTCAAAAGTCGCTCCAGAAAACGCAAAATCTCCAATAGTTATAATATTTTCTTTATTAGGAATGTCATCTACTTCAAAATTTATAGGAGAGCGAATTATTTTAGACATGTTTTTACTTAAAACAAAGTTATTCACAACAGAAAAATAATTATTATTTTCATCAACAGAAAATGTATTTAAATTTGAGCATTGATTAAAAGCATAACCAGAAAAATATCTTAAATTCGGACCTAAATGGATTGATGATATACCAGTAATGGCAAATGAATTCCAATCTAGACTTATTAGAGAATCTGGAAATTTTACAGATGCTTCACCACCAATAGATTCTATACTGGATTTTGATAGGTCTAATGATGTTAATTTCCCAGAAAAACAAGCTCTATAATAAATTGATTTATAAGAAGTATTCGAGACAACAATGCTCCCAGTATATGATTTATCAAACTCATAAATTATACTTCTTGATGCATTAATAATATGATCACTCAATTATGCAATTTTCTCATAAATATTGTAACCATTTGAATTTGTCAAAACCTTAAAAATTCTATTGAGCGAAATTTCTGAGCCGAACTTCTTGAAAACTTAATTCAAGGAAACAAAGTGGAATATGAAAGAGAAATTTATGATGATGAAGTTGTCAACATTATTGGACATGAATCAAAGAATTGAGTTAAATAGTTTTTATTTTTATATTTTATTTTTATTTCTGTCATTTGAAGAGGAGTGTTTCCATCTATTGTTAAACAAACACATTATAATATATGAGTTCGATAAGTCATAAAAGGGGAAAATTGTTAATACCAATAATGTTTAATGTACAATTTTTTTTCCTGAAAGTATCTCAAGGCTAAAAAAAGTTATTTCCTATCAAAAAGTGGATACTATGGTAAATTTGGGTATCGCCTCTTTCTAATATGCTCAGTTTTTTGACACTCGAATGTCATTTCTATCGAACATGTAATTTTGGGAAACTCACATTATTAGATTTATAACAATTAAATATGACGTTAATTAGTGGCGACGCTTTTTTATTTTGCTATTATTTATCATATGTTTTGTCGAATTGCAAAAATTTTTAGTTTTGATACCATGATTTTGCTATATGTTTGACGAATAAAAAATGTAGATTAAATTTAAAATATAGTAAAATCGACAGTTTATAAATTATTTTGACCCCATTCGAATACATCGAAGTTGAAATCGTTCAATGACTTGATAATAACTGTTGGATGTGCATCAACTTCTTCGATCGAAGAAGACATTGGTAATTCTGGATCTGGAACCATAACAACTTCCATTCCAGCATAGTTTGCTCCTTTAACACCATTTGGTGCATCCTCGGAGACCAATATGTTTTCTGGCTTGATAAATGTGTTGATGAATCAGAATAATTGAACATGAATTCTGAAAGTCAAATAGATGAAAACAAAAATAATCTTTTCAATCGAAATAACCGTTTTATAAAACGGTTTGTCAAATTTCACAAAGAAATTTTAATATCAAATTAAAATGAAAACAGAATAAGACATAAAGTGAAAGATCGATGAACATGGAATATTTTTAATTGATGGACATGTTAATATAGTTTCGCCAAGTTGATATGCATCGAATGAAACATCAAATGATGAAAACTTATTTGATGGATACAATGAACAAACACGAATATATTTCACACTTGGACAATTATAAAACAAACTCCTTCCGGAGAATGAAACATTCCCATAATAACAAACAACTTTCAAACTTTTCATTTCATTGAAACATGAATTATTCAATACAGTTACAGAAGAAGGAATCAATATAGAAACAAGTTTAGGAACTTGATATATTGCTCTATATTGAATTTCTTTTAGAAATGATGGTAAAATTATCATAACTAAATTAGGGCAAGAAAAGAAATTTGATTGTTTCAGTATTTCAATTTTTCAAAGATAAATCAACAATTTCTAATGATTTAGTTCCATGAAAAATTGCTCCATCTATATTTTTAAATTTTTCCAGCCAACAAACTTTTCAAAAGTCGCTCCAGAAAAACGCAAAATCTCCAATACTTATAATATTTTCTTTATTAGGAATGTCATCTACTTCAAAATTTATAGGAGAGCGAATTATTTTAGACATGTTTTTACTTAAAACAAAGTTATTCACAACAGAAAAATAATTATTATTTTCATCAACAGAAAATGTATTTAAATTTGAGCATTGATTAAAAGCATAACCAGAAAAATATCTTAAATTCGGACCTAAATGGATTGATGATATACCAGTAATGGCAAATGAATTCCAATCTAGACTTATTAGAGAATCTGGAAATTTTACAGATGCTTCACCACCAATAGATTCTATACTGGATTTTGATAGGTCTAATGATGTTAATTTCCCAGAAAAACAAGCTCTATAATAAATTGATTTATAAGAAGTATTCGAGACAACAATGCTCCCAGTATATGATTTATCAAACTCATAAATTATACTTCTTGATGCATTAATAATATGATCACTCAATTATGCAATTTTCTATAACATATATTTTGAATTTGTCAAAACCTTAAAAATTCGGTTATGTAAAAATTTCTGAACGGATCTTCTTGAAAACTTAATTCAAGGAAATAAAGGGGAATATGAAAAAAAGTTAATGATGATGAAGATGCCAGTATTATTGGACATGAATCAAAGAACCAAGATAAATAATTAGTAATTTATCTTTATTTCTGCCATTTGAAGAGGAGTGTTTCCCACCAAAAAGTTGATATTATGGTAAATTTAGTTATCACTCCTTCTAATATCCTCAGTTTTTTGACACTCGAATATCATTTCTATCGAGTATGTAAATTCAGAAAACTCATATTATTAGATTTATAAGAATTATGCATAATAAAAATTGGTAATGAAGCTTTTTAATTTTGCTATTCTCTATCATCTATTTTGTTGGATCATAAAATTTTTTTAGTTTTGATATAATGATTTTGCCTTCCTATTTAAAATTAAGACAATTAATATGTTTCAGGGTGCACTTACCATTAACATATCTTTAATTTAATGGTAAAAGAGTTTAATTGCCATATTAGTAATTAAGAGGTTATATAGTAACTTTTTCCCGACCAAAAATATTAACTTTTTATTATAAAAAATTAGGATATAAAGCTTGGATGTCAAAAAAATTGAGAGCATGTCACAAAAATTGTAAGTTTAGATTAAGTTTAAAATATAGTAAAATCGACAGTTTATAAATTATTTTTGACCCCATTCGAATGCATCGAAGTTGAAATCGTTCAATGACTTGATAATAACTGTTGGATGTGCATCAACTTCTTCGATCGAAGAAGGCATTGGTAATTCTGGATCTGGAACCATAACAACTGCCATTCCAGCATTGTTTGCATCCTCGATGACCAATATGTTTTCTGACTTGATAAATGTGTTGATGAATCAGAATAATTGAACAAGAATTCTGAAAGTTAAATAGATGAAAACAAAAGTTAATTTTTCAATCGAAATAACCGTTTTATAAACAAAAACAGTTTGTCAAAGAAATTTTTAATTTCAAATTAAAATGAAAACAGAATAAGACATAAAGTGAAAAATCGATGAATATGGAATATTTTTAATTGATGGACATGTTAGAATAGTTTCACCAAGTTGATATGCATCATATGAAACATCAAATGATGAAAACTTATTTGATGGATATAATGAACAAACACGAATATATTTCATACTTGGACAATTATAAAACAAACTCCTTCCGGAGAATGAAACATTCCCATAATAACAAACAACTTTCAAACTTTTCATTTCATTGAAACATGAATTATTCAATACAGTTACAGAAGAAGGAATCAATATAGAAACAAGTTTAGGAACTTGATATATTGCTCTATATTGAATTTCTTTTAGAAATGATGGTAAAATTATCATAACTAAATTAGGGCAAGAAAAGAAATTTGATTGTTTCAGTATTTCAATTTTTGTCAAAGATAAATCAACAATTTCTAATGATTTAGTTCCATGAAAAATTGCTCCATCTATATTTTTTAAATTTTTCCAGCCAACAAACTTTTCAAAAGTCGCTCCAGAAAACGCAAAATCTCCAATAGTTATAATATTTTCTTTATTAGGAATGTCATCTACTTCAAAATTTATAGGAGAGCGAATTATTTTAGACATGTTTTTACTTAAAACAAAGTTATTCACAACAGAAAAATAATTATTATTTTCATCAACAGAAAATGTATTTAAATTTGAGCATTGATTAAAAGCATAACCAGAAAAATATCTTAAATTCGGACCTAAATGGATTGATGATATACCAGTAATGGCAAATGAATTCCAATCTAGACTTATTAGAGAATCTGGAAATTTTACAGATGCTTCACCACCAATAGATTCTATACTGGATTTTGATAGGTCTAATGATGTTAATTTCCCAGAAAAACAAGCTCTATAATAAATTGATTTATAAGAAGTATTCGAGACAACAATGCTCCCAGTATATGATTTATCAAACTCATAAATTATACTTCTTGATGCATTAATAATATGATCACTCAATTATGCAATTTTCTATAACATATATTTTGAATTTGTCAAAACCTTAAAAATTCGGTTATGTAAAAATTTCTGAACGGATCTTCTTGAAAACTTAATTCAAGGAAATAAAGGGGAATATGAAAAAGAAGTTAATGATGATGAAGATGCCAGTATTATTGGACATGAATCAAAGAACCAAGATAAATAATTAGTAATTTATCTTTATTTCTGCCATTTGAAGAGGAGTGTTTCCCACCAAAAAGTTGATATTATGGTAAATTTAGTTATCACTCCTTTCTAATATCCTCAGTTTTTTGACACTCGAATATCATTTCTATCGAGTATGTAAATTCAGAAAACTCATATTATTAGATTTATAAGAATTATGCATAATAAAAATTGGTAATGAAGCTTTTTAATTTTGCTATTCTCTATCATCTATTTTGTTGGATCATAAAATTTTTTTAGTTTTGATATAATGATTTTGCCTTCCTATTTAAAATTAAGACAATTAATATGTTTCAGGGTGCACTTACCATTAACATATCTTTAATTTAATGGTAAAAGAGTTTAATTGCCATATTAGTAATTAAGAGGTTATATAGTAACTTTTTCCCGACCAAAAATATTAACTTTTTATTATAAAAAATTAGGATATAAAGCTTGGATGTCAAAAAAATTGAGAGCATGTCACAAAATTGTAAGTTTAGATTAAGTTTAAAATATAGTAAAATCGACAGTTTATAAATTATTTTTGACCCCATTCGAATGCATCGAAGTTGAAATCGTTCAATGACTTGATAATAACTGTTGGATGTGCATCAACTTCTTCGATCGAAGAAGGCATTGGTAATTCTGGATCTGGAACCATAACAACTGCCATTCCAGCATTGTTTGCATCCTCGATGACCAATATGTTTTCTGACTTGATAAATGTGTTGATGAATCAGAATAATTGAACAAGAATTCTGAAAGTTAAATAGATGAAAACAAAAGCTAATTTTTCAATCGAAATAACCGTTTTATAAACAAAAACAGTTTGTCAAAGAAATTTTTAATTTCAAATTAAAATGAAAACAGAATAAGACATAAAGTGAAAAATCGATGAATATGGAATATTTTTAATTGATGGACATGTTAGAATAGTTTCACCAAGTTGATATGCATCATATGAAACATCAAATGATGAAAACTTATTTGATGGATATAATGAACAAACACGAATATATTTCATACTTGGACAATTATAAAACAAACTCCTTCCGGAGAATGAAACATTCCCATAATAACAAACAACTTTCAAACTTTTCATTTCATTGAAACATGAATTATTCAATACAGTTACAGAAGAAGGAATCAATATAGAAACAAGTTTAGGAACTTGATATATTGCTCTATATTGAATTTCTTTTAGAAATGATGGTAAAATTATCATAACTAAATTAGGGCAAGAAAAGAAATTTGATTGTTTCAGTATTTCAATTTTTGTCAAAGATAAATCAACAATTTCTAATGATTTAGTTCCATGAAAAATTGCTCCATCTATATTTTTTAAATTTTTCCAGCCAACAAACTTTTCAAAAGTCGCTCCAGAAAACGCAAAATCTCCAATACTTATAATATTTTCCTTATTAGGAATGTCATCTACTTCAAAATTTATAGGAGAGCGAATTATTTTAGACATGTTTTTACTTAAAACAAAGTTATTCACAACAGAAAATGTATTTAAATTTGAGCATTGATTAAAAGCATAACCAGAAAAATATCTCAAATTTGGACCTAAATGGATTGATGATAAACCAGTAACGGCAAATGAATTCCAATCTAGACTTATTAGAGAATCGGGAAATTTTGCAGATGTTAACTGACCGCAATACAAGAATGCTTCACCACCAATAGATTCTATACTGGATTTTGATAGGTCTAATGATGTTAATCTCCCAATAAAACAAGCTCTATAATAAATTGATTTATAAGAAGTATTCGAGACAACAATGCTCCCAGTATATGATTTATCAAACTCATAAATTATACTTTCTGATGCATTAATAATATGATCACTCAATTATGTAATTTTCTCATAAATATTGTAACCATTTGAATTTGTCAAAACCTTAAAAATTCTATTGAGCGAAATTTCTGAGCCGAACTTCTTGAAAACTTAATTCAAGGAAACAAAGTGGAATATGAAAGAGAAATTTATGATGATGAAGTTGTCAACATTATTGGATATGAATCAAAGAATTGAGTTAAATTGATTGATTTAGAATTGAACGAACATATAATCAATGCATCAAGGAACTTAATGTATGAGTTCGATATGTCATATACAGGGGAAATTGCTATTACCAATAATGTTTATAAAACAATTTTCATTGGATTACATAAATAATGGAAATCCACATCATTAGATTCATCACAATTAAGTGTAATGGAAATTGGTGGCGAAGCTTTTTTATTTTGCCATTCTTTATCATCTGTTTTGTCGAATCGCAAAATTTTTTAGCTTTGATACAATGATTTTGCTATGCCTATTTAAAATAAAGACAACTGATATGTTAAACAAATAAAAAAGTATATTATATTTAAAATATAGTAAAATCGACAGTTTATAAATTATTTTTGACCCCATTCGAATGCATCGAAGTTGAAATCGTTCAATGACTTGATAATAACTGTTGGATGCGCATCAACTTCTTCGATCGAAGAAGGCATTGGTAATTCTGGATCTGGAACCATAACAACTGCCATTCCAGCATTGTTTGCTCCTTTAACACCATTTGGTGCATCCTCGAAGACCAATATGTTTTCTGGCTTGATAAATCCAAGTTTCTTCATAGAAGTGAGGAAAATCTCTGGATTTGGTTTACCATGAGAAACTTCATCACCACATGTGATTGCTGGGAACTGATCGTAAAATTCTTTGTGATTTACAATCTTGTAAACGTAATTTCCTCTGTTTGAGCTTGTTGCAAGGGCCATTGGGATCTTGCGGTCAATGAATTTCTGTACTAACTCTTTTGCGCCAGGAAATAGCTTGGCTGTAGGAAATACTTTGCAAAGTGCTTCATCACGGATTTTAATGTATTCTTCCCAGGTGTATGGGAGTCCATACTCCTTAACAATAAGTTTGCACGCATCTGGACCTGTTAATCCCATCAACTTCTTCCTGAAATCCCAATTAAGGAAGTGGCCAGTGAGTTCTTGATGAATTTTTGCGTATATTGGCTCTGTATCGAGCAAAAGACCATCATTGTCGAAGACTACAGCATAAATTGGATGTGGCCAGACTTTTTGAGTCATCAGATAAAAAAATGAGCGGAAAAATTCCGATCAAAAAATTGTTCTCCAACTTTACATTTTTGCATCAGTTTTATTTTTGTAGAAAGAATAGTGGAAGCCAGGAACAAATTCAATAGGGACGATAAGGAAAAATCATAAAATCTCAAACGAAATTTCATATTCGTCCTTCGCAAACTGATCTTATATCTTTTGCCTGTGTTTAAGGACTTGCATAAGTTGTTCAGAACTATCTTGTAGCGTAGTTCAATACAAATTTGATAAAAAATTTCAAAAATATCAAAAATATTAAGAATTCTTCGGCTATAATAAACATAAAACAACTTTATAATAAGAAAAGATATGTATTATAAACAACGAGGTGATAAATCAAATCCGCCGCAAATAAGAACGAGAATGAAGTAAATAATAAATGCGCAAAGCAAAAACACAAGTATCCAAACAAATATGTGCGTAATTTCTTGCTTTGCTATGCTAGGCTTAATCATTTTTGGAATTCTAACAATTAATGAGTTTTCAGCTGCACTTTCAAACTCTGATGGATACTCTTCATCAACTAAAGGAGAAACTCCTTCATCAGCTTCATCAATTTGCGAAGGCGGGACAATTGCGCCTGCAACTGAAAGTAATGATTGTTTAACCAAGATAAGTTGTGGCTCAAAGCTAGTTTGGAGGCCAAACGGACTTGCTTTTCTCCAATCTGTACCATGACTACGAATAAATCTACTTTTCATATCATCAAGGGCTTTATCTAAAATATTTCTATCATTTGTATTTTTAACAACGCATATATAAGTGAGTCCTTCTTCCTCATATAGTATTCCCCATAAAAAATTGTCTGCTAAGAGAATTGTTTTTCCTGGTTCAAGTTTGTTGTTTTCAACATAACGTTGGAAAAAGAGATCGAAATTCCCTTGTTCTGGACAGTGCTGAACTAAAGGAATATCTTTCCTAAGTATAGAAGCATAACAAAATTCCATAAAAAGGATTGTCACTTTTTACACCTCATGTTGAAATTTCGAAATCTGATAAAAAAAAATTAAGAGAAATCAATGCAGATGCACATATACCTTCGTTATAAGGTATATTTGCTAATTACAATGTAAAAAATGTATGCTTAGCAATAAATAAACTTTATTTTATACAAACAAAATTAACACTGGAGTACATTTATATAAAATTTATATCCTTTTGATATTATATAAGTAGAGTTCAGCTAGTTTGACTGACAATGTTCCAAAATCTAGTTGTAAAAATATTTGAACAAAAATCAAGTAATAATGATGCAACAATAAACGTAGAATTCTCTAGTAACTTGTGTTTTATGATTTCGATATAAACTAGATTGTTACTGATGATAATTGTTTGAAAGTATTTATTACGTATTGTTTTTGCTGAGGCGTTGCATTTTCAAAATCTCCTAGGATTTCAATGATATCATCTAAGTCATCTGTCGAAATCGTTCCGAATCTTAAGTTATTTTTTCTTATATCTTCGAGCTCTTTCTTTTTTGCATCTGCCAGTAACAACAGGTTCTTTTTATATTGTATTACTTTTTCTATTTCAGTATCTAGCTGCTTGCTAATCTCTTCTAAACTTGGATTCATGAATAAAGGTGACAATTTTAAAAGTTTTTCGAAAACATGAGTAATGATACAAATTATTGGAATTTTACAATGGCAAGATTCAACGCATGCAAGAAGCAGACACGTGAGGAAATGTTTAGAGCAAATGAAACGCCTGAATTCATGCATTATTACATAAACCACGATGAGAATCAAAGTTATAGTTATCTAAAACAGAAAATGAATGAAGTAGCCGAATTGGAAGCTCAATATGTACAAATGGCTCTTAGAATGTCACCTCGTAATGAAAAGCCATATTACGAACAAATTCGCCTGAAAGACTTCGAGACAAGAAAAGTAGTAATTAACAATCAACTAGCTAAGCAACTTCGCGATCACATCAAATTATTGATTGAACAAGCTAAAAAAGCTTAAAACCGACAATACAATTGCAATAAATTAGTCACAAAATACAATATTACTAACGAATTCTTATTAATTTTCATTCTTGAATTGACAAATTTTTAATAATCAAAGGTAACTAAACTCCTTTCGCCGATCCGATTTGCCCCATATTTAAAATATAGCTTGCATATGTAGAAGAAAAGCTAATTTTGAAGTACGCCCCAAATCCACCAACAGGATTTCGAGCTACTAAAAAGGTACTTTTAAATGTGATTTTTTTATAAAAAATTAAATTTATTTTAAGATCAGACTAAAAACTAATTTTATGGAAAATCTATATCGACAAATTTATTACTTATTGGGTATATAGATTTTTTGATTATGGCGATTATGTCTGATATGCTTCCAATAAGCCAAAACACATTTCATACTGATTTCTATAAAAGGTATCTTTATTATAGAAGTGTAAGCTATATCTGTTTGTTTTTTTATTATAACAAATTCAAAATTCTCTTATAAGGACTAGATGAAATCTGTATTATTAAATCATTAGCTAAATGAAGGTTCAAATAGAAAGTAAATATCAATTTATATGATACTGAAACCAAATAGTTCTTTTAATAAAAGATAACACGCTGAAAATTATTGAGTATTTGCAAATCTCAAAAATCTATTGGTGAATTTGGCTCAACTTTTAAAATTATAACATCCATATCAAATCATAAAAGCAGACAAAAATTAAAGCCAAACCTATCGGCCAATTTTTTTTTGATATTTTGATTTTTGAGGTATATTTTTAAAAGTGGATTTAAAGCACTTATGAAAAAACATTAACTTCTGTCGTTATGATTATTGATTTAGACAATAATGATTTTAATCTTTGATTATCAAAACACTAAAGTCATCTTTTTAACATTTGCTTGGTAGCATTAACTCAAGTCTAAAGTACTATTTTATGTGGCACTCTTAGAATTTTTGTATTCATTGTACACGCTGAAATAGTACCATTAAAGTTATGGCGGACTTTCAAAAAATAGTTTGGTCACCTTTTAATAATCTCGAATCTTATATTATTCAAAACTTCGAATACATAAAACTAACTTAGACTCGTACGACCAATTTATGTTGCAACTATTTGACTAATTAATTCAAAATTTATTTTCATAATATTTTTGTTTACTATTTTATTGGATATTTTACATATATTTCTTTTCTATTTTAGATAAATGTTTGATTTTATTACTTTAATTCTATTTAATTTCCAAATTTGATTAAAATCTTTTTTTGAACATATTTTACATTGTAATATATTTATTAAAAGTTTTATACATGGCACGATGGGCGCTACTTTTTTGGCGCCAGCGGCGCCGCCCGCGCCTCCGGTGTAGGGATGCGACGGTTTTACGCCATGACCGTTTAAAAATAGAATAATACGCCATTTTTGGGGCCGAATGGCGGGTACGAAGTAGCCGCCATTCGGCCGAATAACAAAACAATACAAAATTATCGCCGTCCTTTTTTTTCTCTCTCTCTCTCTTTCTTTTCTCTTTCCTCTTTTTACTCCTCTTTCTCTTTTCATCATTAAACGTAGAAAGATATATTAATATTATTTTAAAATTAAAAAAAAAAAGAAAGAAAGTATAATAAGTAATTATTTAGTTATCGATATATATATGTAAAGTGATAATCTGAGGATAATCTGAGGAGGAGTCTGAGGATTAGACCGAGGAGTAGTTTGAGGAGTTTGATGATAATCTGAGGAGTTTGAGGAGTAGTCTGAGGAGTAGTTTGAGGAGTAGTCTGAGGTGTTTGAGGATAATCTGAGGAGTTGTCTGAGGAGTAGTTTCAGGAGTTGTCTGAGGATAATTTGAGGAGTTTGAGGAGTAGTCTGAGGAGTTTGAGGAGTAGTCTGAGGAGTTTGAGGATAATCTGAGGAGGAGTCTGAGGATTAGACCGAGGAGTAGTTTGAGGAGTAGTCTGAGGAGTTAGAGGATAATCTGAGCATAATCTGAGGAGGAGTCTGAGGATTAGACCGAGGAGTAGTTTGAGGATAATCTGAGGAGGAGTCTGAGGATTAGACTGAGGAGTAGTTTGAGGATAATCTGAGGAGTAGTTTCAGGAGTAGTCTGAGGACTAGTCTGATGAGGAGGACTCTAAGGAGTAGTCTGAAGAGTAGTCTCAGGAGGAAGATCTGAGGAGGAGTCTTATGAGGAAGATCTGAGGAGTAGTCTGATGAGGAGGGGTCTAAGGAGTAGTCTGAGGATGATCTGAGGATAACCTGATGACTAGTCTAGGAGTGGTCTAATAAAAATGTAAAATATTTTCAAAGAAAAAATTCTATGAATTTTATATTTTAATTCTTAGCATTATACTGAATAAAATAAACATAAATATCAAAATTTGAAATTGAACACGCCAAAAAATTGATAATCCACATTCAATATTTTGTAAGTGGCGTACTTTTTGAATACTCGCCATACGCCTTGGAGTTCTCAATTTTGAATTCGCCTTTATTTGGGCGACCTCAGAAAAATACGCCATTAAGAAAATATTGTATGAGATTTTAAATTTGAAAACGCTCTACCTTAAGGAATTAAATTTATTAAGATATATTTATATATAATAAACGATTACTTAAAAAAAAGTATTTCATCGCTTATGTAAGTTTCAAAAAAATCACGAAAATAAAAAAATCAAGATTAAAATTTTATTTTTAATTTTTGAATTTCTCAAATGGCGAAATTTTTGGGCGAACAAAAAAAATGTACGCCCGGTCAAATGGCGTGTTTAACGCATCCCTACTCCGGTGGCTCCCACTGGTGGGGAGGAGACGATAGAAAAAGATATAAATTTTACTAAAAAAATTGAATTTTGGAAATTCTTTTGATTTTTTTGAATGATTTACGAAGAGATTGAACACATTTTGTACTATGAAATATCGTTATTAATAAATTTACTTCTTAAACATTTATTAAAATCGCAATTTTGAATATTTTTATGATTTTTTTTGACCCGATCACTTGCGCCCGCGCCCACTGGGAGGGGTGCTTGTAAAGTATTCAAAAATCAATGTAAACATTTCAATTTTTGCTCCCACCTCCCATTGGGAGGGGGGCATATATCTTGTAGCGTTCAAGTTCAAGTGATGAAAGTGCATAAGAAAGCTCCTTAATCATACCGATAGAAACAGCATTAGGGGCGCCAAATGGCGCTCGGTGATGTTTCCCATAAAAGCTTAATTTCAGGTATCCATAATCATAACCTGTCAGACGCAATAATTCATTAGCACACAATCATCGTTTCTCAATCAAGAAACGAAACGCACGATTGATTATGCTGGCCATTAAATTTTCATATCAAATAATTTACTACTTCAAGAAAAATTAAAGACTATCATCAACCAAAGCTTAAAATTCTCAGTGTTTACAACTCTCATACTTCGAATATGCATATTTCCAAAATAGCATGAAAATTTTTTTCATTTGAGCTCATTTTCTTTTGTTCTATTAACTAATACATGCAGTACAAGCTTGTTATACGTATACTTAATAAGTAAGGTCTTAAGGGAAATAATAAAAAAGAATTTTGCTATTAATTATATTAAACAATATTTATTTGTAATTTCGTGATAATTATATTTCGTATTACAAAGTAAAGGTATTTGATATAATGTTTGCCTTACAAAAATGTTTCCTTTGTCTTGCCACCATAGGTATTCTATTTTGTCACTTTTTGCGCCCGCCGTGCCATGTATAATTAAAAGAGGGTATTTATTTGATAATAATAAAAAGGAATAATCATATAAAAATATAACGTGACAATTATGAGGAAGTTACAGTTTCATAAACAACAAATGGAGGGATTACTGTTTCCTTACCGGAACCATATGATTCTTTGACTAACAGAGCAATTTTATCACAAGGAACAGGGATATCAAGAGGAATGCGAAGAGAACCACTAATTGCGACATCTAGTTCTTCCTTGGTTCTCCTAACACTTGTCCTAGAAATGAATTTAATCTCAAATTTTTTGAGATGATTTGGATAATTTTCTAAATTAGCAAATCTTAAGCTGCTAATGAATGCAGGATGGTCTAATGTAAATTCATACAAAACTTTTCCATCGAAAGGAACTGTAATACTCTTTGTAAATGGTACTTTTTCTTTCTTATAGTAAATATCAATTGGAACTTCCTTCGAGAGCGCTTTGAGAAGAGATCTGATTTCCTTCTTAGCAGCTTCTTCATTTTCAGCGCCAATCTTAGCTAATGATTCTTTCAAATTTTCTTTAATTTGATCTTTTTCTAATTGCGAAAGTTCCTGAATATCTTTTTCAAGTCCGTTAAGTAATCCTTCTATAGAATTAAGGCCTTCTTTATATAAATCATAATTGCGAACAAATTCTGTTAAACTTTGGTTGATTTGTTTCATTAAATCTTCTGGGACTGGTTCATTAACTGTTACATTACCGCCTGTTTCACCAATAAATTCTGGCTCTTGTTCTTCTTGTACTTCTTCGTATTCTTCTTCTTCTTCGCAGCATTTTTGATCATAATCGTAGCAAAGGTATTTATCCAAGCAAAGTGTGAAGAATTTGCAAATTGAGTTAAACAACCGTTTGAAGAGTCTGAAAACTGACTTGAATGGGTATAAAATCCATCTCAAAATGTGCCTAAACAAACAAGACAATTTGTACATGAATATGATAAGATCGGTTAATGTATTCTTGAGTGGTAAATCAGGAAATGCTGGAAGTCGAACAACAATTTTGAAATGTCTGAATTTGGGAGATTTTACTGTGCAAAGCAAGTATTTGATGATAGCAATCGGAAATGCTATGATGAACTTGATTACACAGATTAATAAGTAAACAACGGAATATATTATTGAAATTAAAATTCGAAAGAAAATGTTATACTCGTTATATTTTGTTTCATGCTTCTGCTCGCCAAACCGAAACTCTATAAATGGCTGATGGCTGAAATTAATTTCTGTAATTACGCAACTGATTAAGATGTAAGCAAATACAATCAGAAAACCAGAGACAATTCCTGATATAATTGGATAATTACTGAAAAAGCGCTTAGTTTTATCTGATAATACCTGAAAAGAAAAACTGTTGGCGCTCATTTCTTTTTTGTCAAATATTTTATTTTTACTTTACTTGTCAAAAATGAAATAGTTTATTCAACAAAATAATATTACGACAATTGTTTTCCTATGATTATAGTAGTTCACATAAATGCTAAACATTTCAACATGTTTTTATCGAAAATTTCTATAATTTTAGCTCAAATCATAAGTTTTTACCAATATTCATGGGTTTTGGCGACGGACACTTACTCTACTAATGATGCATATTTGATGTGCGAAGTATCGCATGAAGGCTATTGGGACGATTTTGAGATATTCAAAATCTTGCTCATTAAATATATTCCTGCGAGATAGAAATGTATTTGGTGAATATTCTTTTAATCTCATTAGATACAATGGATGATTTTGGGATAACACTCATAATGATGTGCCACGGACTTGCTTATATGATTACATTCAGCCTATCTCCATGTTATATGCATAAATTACTGCTATCAAAGCTAAATGATGAATAATTTTATTTTCCTCTGAATAAAAAATTGGAATTGAACCGAATCGACTTATGATAATGAGTTAAATCATGATCATCTATATGTTTCGTCATGAAATTCATTTTCAAAATTTTCCTGAAATGTCGGATGAGCTGAAGAAAAGGCTCGTCGACGATTTATCCAACTATTCAGGTTATTTAACGAAATCTGATGTTAGACCTTTTGCAATTGCAGCGTTAGCCCAAATAAATTCTCCAGATTTTTCTGTTCCAATCAAAACAGGTGAATCTGCGGTCATAAAAGCAATAGACGCCATCATAAAATCGAAAAATTATAAGCTCCAATCAGAATATACCGTTTCATTGCTTTGTGATTTAGTGTCTGGAGGATTTTTCGGGCTAATTGCAATTAATGAATCACTTCAAATACTAGAATCAGTATCATTAGTGTCAAGTCAACTCATTGCACTTAAAATAATCCAATTTTCTGCTAATTTGATTCCTTACATTTACAAAGATTCGACTTCTTTATTTTCAATTTTCTCAATCATGCTGAAAATGCTAAGCCACAAGATCCCTCTTATACAAAATACTGCATTTGCTACTTTACAACAGATGCTTTCTTCACTTTTTGATTTAATTCAAAAATATGAAGGTGAATTACCAAAAAGACTTCTCAAATCACTTTCATCGTTGACACCTGAGAAATTATCAAAACCATTAAATGCTTTAACTTATATAATTTTATCAGATTTTAGAAATATGTTAAATGAAAAGCCAACACAACACATCCACGTCAGCGAAATCAATCAATCGAAGCTTATCAACCTATTCAACACCATTCTATCAAATAATTCAGTTTATTTCAAATCCGAAAAGCAATTTTTAGAAATTATCGATTCAAGTATACAACTACCGATGACAAATAAAGTTTACTTATCATTGTACCTCACTTTTATCAATTTTTACATTGATTCTTTGCCACAAACCGCAATTGCAATTTATTCTCACTTTTTATCGGAATGCAACCCTGATTCACAATATACAAACTCATTGTTGTTCTTTAGATCAGTTTATTCGGTTTCTTCTCAATTTTTGAATAATTTTATAAAATATTGCGATACAACGTTCTCTTTGTCATCGGCATTGATAGAGTCGTTATCGAGATTCTCAAATCATATCAATTTAGCATCAACTGTTGATATTTCAGCAAATAAAAATTTTGATTTTAATTTGAACGGACAAATGACACTAGAAGTAGCTACAAAGATTGCCATTGAGATAGCAATAATATTTACATCAATGCCAGGCGAATTTATTGATCAACAGTGGAATAAGATATTTTTATTGATTTTGGAAGGTTTTTGCATCTGTTCTCTTGAAACATCGCAACATATATTGGCTTCCTTCAATAAATTACTTGATAATTTGTATTCTTCTCGTAATTCTGAAGCAATTTATTTGATAATTAAAATTTTCTCAGATTTAGTGACAGATTCAACAGAAGAAGATGAAAACCAACTTGTAAAAGACGCAAAAACACTAATAAATGCAAGAAAACAAAATTCTCAATTTTCATCCAAAAAAGATTTGATGAATAGCTTGTTTATTAGGTTATTTGAGTCCAACAGTAAGCTTATATCATCACATTATGACCTGATTTTCAAATCTTTTTCGATTTTCCCAACAATCGGAATTGAAACTAAAAAAACTCAAGAACTATCAATAGAAGACATAAATCAAATCATCAAATGCCTTATTAAAGATGATGAGTGCTATTTGAAGCTCCTTTCCAAGGTCTATCGCTCAAATATTCAAAGATTTGATGAAATTTGGCAAAATTCCATTTTACAATACAAAAGTGACGAAAAATCAATACCTGCTTTGTCTGAGATTGCCATTGTATCGATAGATTCCGAGTTTCCTGTTCTTTCCTCGAAAATTTGCAGTGAATTTTTAGAAACAGACTTTTCAGAGGAAACTGACATCTACAAACGTCAGTTACTTGAATATCTGTCAACTAAGCTCCAGAGTCCGCCACATCCTCCAAACGAAGCTTGGCCTTTCATTATTAAATTATTTTCACCGAGAAAATGCAACACACATGAGTCAATTAACATTGCTTTCTCTGGTTTCTCATTTATTGTTAAGAATCTGCTGAAAGAAGTGCCAGATTGCGATCTTTCCGCGATTATTGAATCAAATTTCGGTTTTGTCAATCAAAAACTGGAAATTAATATCTCATTGTCAGCTATTGACAATCTATGGACTCTCACTCCAAGGATGGCCGACAATGATGACCTTTGGATCAGCATTTTCTCAAATTTGTTTTTATATCTCACTGATGACCGTCCAGATGTCGGAACTGCAGCGATAAACACATGCTTCAACCTCATATCATCGAATGAGAAGATTATTTCGGACAAAACGTTCGATTATCTCTTAACAGAGTGTATTATCAAATTATTAGAGAGCGAAACGTCATTTAAAGACAACCAGAATGTGTGGCAAGCGATATCTCAGATGTTTATTGATATTGCTCATTGCGCGATTGCTTTTTGGTACAGATTTGAAGCGAATAATTTATTTATTGAAAAGTTTTGGTATTTAATATCAGATAAAGTCAAGTTATTCTGTTTCGACTGCACCAATGAAGAATTCGTGCTCGATTCGCTCCAGTTCTTCGGAGAAGTCTTTTCCTGTGAAAAAATTAACCAAAAAATCCGAACAAAAATCGGAAATTCTTTTAACGAAATTTTGTCACTTTTAATGGAAAAATTTGACGAAAAATCGTTATGCATTCAATTATTTGGTCGGTACTTTTCACAGAATATTGACAAAGTAAAAGAGTTTCTAACCATAGATAACTGCAAATCATGGTGCGAAACAATCAAAAAATCATGCATTTTAATGCATTCTGAGAAAACAACGCAACAGAGCGTTTCCAAGATCTTAGACACCATTCCTAAGATCATGCCACTTGACGAAGGCGTTATGTGGTACTTAATTGACATCTTGGCCTTATCATTAAAAGAAACTCCTTATGAAAAGGTCAAAGAGTCGATTATTGACTGTTTCAAGCTCATTGCAGAACAAATGGAAGACGAGAAGCTTTCATTCTACATAAGACACGTATCTCCATGTTTCCAGTACATTTGTAGTGGTCCTGTGGTCGACCATTTTGTCTCCAGACATCCTATTTTGACTTTTAGCGAAACTGAAGTTTATTTCAGTGTTTTGAGTCAAAGCAGAGCAGGAGACACAAATAAAAGGATCAGTTACTTGATAGATTTGTTCCCGAACGTTTCTACCGAGAAACAAATCGAGTTCATCAAGGTTTGCAACAATTCGAACTCTTTGAAATTGATTTGGTCGAAATATTGCGAACCAGAATTAGATGATTTCGATATCAAACTTTGCATGAATGTTTTCGAAGTAACGTTCGAAACATTATGCTCTATGATGAGTGATTTCATTGATGATGAAGATGAAATGGTTGATTTCTTGTCTTTCGTTGTTTCTCATCATGCTTATCCGAAAAAAGTTGGAAATAACGAAAATTGTCAAACTTGGCACTTAATTAAGTTTGTGCCGAAACTGATTAACTTGTTGACTGATGATAGAAAGAGAGTCGCAAAGCTCGCACAGGAATTGTTGATGAGAGTCAATAAAGACTTGAAAACAATTCTTGGTAAATAAAAATATTGTTTCTTTTTTTTTATAATTATAAATTGATCTTACACACAAACGTGCTATTGTCAACAAGTGAATTAGTATAGTAACCCATTTTCTGCCTCAATATTAAATTAATCTCATTCAAAAATTTGGGAAGAGACTTTACGAAGGAAAAGGATAAGCGAAACTTGCAGGGAGAGTTTGGTGTCTTATACGGAGCTTCTTGGCAGCCAAAAATGATGCCCTGAAATTTGGTTCCAAAATGGATTCTCTAGCTTTCCAAAATATATTGAACTTAGACAATTAGTATTGTTCTTAAAAATAACAATATAAAATAAACGAATTTATTCAAAAAACCGGATCTTTATTTACAATTTCTAATCGAGGCATAAACTCTTGCTATGGCATTTTGTTTTGAGTACCATCATAGTAGAAGTAGCTGATTTTAGGTACTTTATATTTACGAACATGAAGGTTCCAGTCACACATTCGGAAACATCTTGAAAATGTTTTGATTGATTCAATCACATCGTCGCCTGCATTATCAAGAATAGCATATCTGTATATGATACCTCCAAAGAGATATCCATATACATTGACAACTGTATAAAGAAATTAGGCCTTGATCAACATCATCAATAAAGCTTTTGATAATGTGTTTCTCTAAGAATGTAATATTGTTATCATCCAGCTTAACAAATTTGTTATAGTATAAAATTTAGGATTTTTTAATTCTGTTCGAAAGTACACCCAAGAGCTTTCTGTGATTCGGTACCCTTTGGATATTGAGCTCTGATGTATTGAATTAGTTGGAATTTTGGGTTAAACTTATAATAATATTCGTAAGATCCCAGATATAATGTTATAGAAATTGCCCATTTTGGCAATTTTGAAAGGAACAAATAATGGATCATGTAGCTCCAAATGAGCAATATCTCGCTATATATGAAGACTAAAAAAAAGCGAATCTGCTGCTGACCCCAAAATAACCCGAAATTATGGTCTTGAACGAAAATTTTATCTAATCGTCTTCAGTGATAGATATTCAATTGATCTTTAAAGATTCGAATAAAATTAACATTGAATGCCATAACATTTTCAGATTTGATAACTATCACTTTTTCTCTTAGATCTGATCACAAATATCGTTCCTATTATTTCAAATTTTGAATTGAGACAAAATTCATGAGAAATAAAAAATCAACATTAAATAATATACAATATGTTTTATCATTTTTACTCAACCAAATTCAAAACCTCACCTCTGAAAATAATTTTTCCTTTTACTGCGTAAGCATATATTCTTTCATCAATCATTACAATTTTTTTGAATTTTTTTATGTAATAAAATTATGCAAGAGGAGTGGATTCTTATCCTTAGTTTTTGCATTCCATACTTTGGTTTTGCAGCTCTATGGATATTTTTAATTAAGAAGTACTTCTACTGGCGCCCTCTTGTATTTGCCCGATTTGTTATTGCCAATTGGATCAAAAGACAAATTGGTTCAGCAGTTTTTTGGATCTGCTATATACTATGGTGGATATTTTTCTCTCTACCAATCCTTATCCCTGCCTTTTTCTCTATTTACTTAAATAAAAAATACGAAAGTGTTCCGATCACTATAGTAGTAGCCATTACGCCAGCTGTAATGTTCACATTATTTATCACATATAAGAATTACAATCATAATGGTTTCAAAATCGGATATACAACAAAGATATTGCTTGGAATTTGCTTTGCCTTAATTTTCGTAGTTAATATCGTCACTACTATACTATATACGCCCGAGAAAAATTGGAAAGCGTACGGATTTTTCTTCACTGCACCACCAATTCTGATATACGGATATTGCCTTTGTTATTCTCGAAGAAAAATCAAGAAAGATGCTGCAAAATCAATCCTCGATAATGATTCCTCAAAGAGAAGTTTCATTTACGAAATTTGCAACCGTAAATTCGATAATTGGTTCGGGGGAAGTCATAAATTACCTTGGTATCATATCATTGTCGTAGTAGCATCATCAGTCATCTTCAATTTCACGTTTTACGGACTCTGGAAAGACGAACCTACGCTTGCTACAGCTGCCGGATCCTTTGTTATTGATATGTTGATACTAATCAGACAAAATTTAATTCCTAATCAAGTACAAACAGTCAAATTCTTATTTGTTGCCTACTTACTTAAAGTATATGCCATCTACAATAGCCCAGAATACTGGCTCTACAGTCATTCTGTTTATTTCTTAGTTTTCGGCATCTGGTTTTTAACAAGGTTTATGATATGGCTCTCCAATAAGTCATTATGTCCAAGAAAGAAGGTCAGATTAAGCCAAAGCCTCATAGATGGTGAAGTTATGGAACAAATTGAAAAAATTACACCGGAAGGCATACGTCCGACGTCATTAGAAGCTATTCCAAGCATCATTGTATTCATAATTGCAGTCATTTTAGCAGCCGTTGAAATCAAAATTTATGGAGAAGATGTAGATCAAAAAATTTTCAACGATAACACTCAGAAAACAGGTTACATCACAATAATTGTTATTACTATTGCTATATCATTTATCCTTTCTGTGATAATATGCGCTTATACCGGCAGAGGAAAGATATCTAAACTTATGTTACTCACAGTCATCTCAGGCATCATATTCTTACACTTATTCCTCCATTTCTACCAAGATCTCAACATCACACCTTATCAAAACGGTTTATTCTTCATGATAATTTTCATGGCAATCGACGGAATCCTATTTTGCCTTTCTTTGAGTGGTAACGCATTCAAACTCACAAAAGGAACATCATTGTTCGTACAAACTATCATTTATATGGTACTTTTAATCATAATATCACTAAGTCTCATAATTGTTCCTATTGTTTGTGCAGAAAAGTCATTGATAGGTGTTATAATTACATTAGGTTTTCTTTCTGCTGTGTTCTTTTTCATTTTCAGCCACTTCTTCATCATGCCAACATTCAAATGCGACTGGATCATTTATCTCACACTGTTTTGCGTATTTTATATTGGATACTGCCTCGCATTGTACTTCTCCGACTACTTATTTGTATCATTTGTCTCTGGTGGCTTCGGAATTCTTTTCATTGCATACGGAATCACTTTAATCTGGTGCTATCGTAACCAATGGACATTGTCCCTAGGTCCAATGCTCATTTCCACCATCACATCATGCATTGTCACTGGTTTATTAACATGGCAATTCATGATTTCGGAATACAAACTTTCCACAGCTGTTTTTGCTTATGTATTCGCTCTCATTGCATGTGGAAGTATTTATATCTTTGCTATGCAGAAATATCGTTATAATCATTCTGCTCTTTCTATTTGTGCCATTGTTTTTTATTGTGTATTCAGTGTTGCAATGTTAGTTCTTATTTTCTTACAAAACTCTACACCATACTTTGTCTATACTATTGCATCGATTGTAACTGCTGTTTTGGCTGTTGGATGTGCTGTTACTTATGTTTTGATGAACTCAAAGACAACAGTTCTTGTATTGACCAATTTCTTCTTCCCAGCGAGAAATTATTACAGCGGATCAATCCACAAGATTCCAATTTTCACAACAGCTTATTTGCTTTTGATTGTCGATCTTTGGATGTGGGGTTTGTTCGGAATGATTTCTGATAACACAAACATCGTTCCTCCAATAATGATCACAGCTGCATTCACTGTTACTTCTTTGTTTGGTATTGCGCTTTTGATTGAACTTGATCAGAAATGTCTCAGTTCTTTACAGTACATTTCTACAGAAGCTATCACACATGCTGTAGGAAAAGCAATGCACGCAGCAGGCGTTTCTTCAAATCTAAAAGTGCCAACAAAAGTGGATAAAAGTAATCCACAGAAATACTTAGATACAGAAAGACAGTTCAATAAAATGAACTCTGCAATTTCATACTTTATTACTGCTCTCAAAGCACAACTCTTCATTTCATCACAAATGGCTTTTCTTATGGCAAAAGACAAACTTAAAACAATTTTGTCATCTAAAAACATCGAATGCAATTTCCTCGATGAAAGTGACTTTAGTCCTGAAGAAAGATCAAGAGTTATTAACTTGTATTTGAACTTGACAGGTCAATCATCTGTTAACGCTCCTACAGCTGATTTAAAGCAGAATATAACTGTAAAACCTCATACAGCAACAACAACTCTTCCTTCGCCAAAAACTATGTCAGATACAAAACAAAAATCTGACTCTAAACCAAAATCAAAAACTGACACTAAATCAAAAAGTGACAAACCGTCCAAACCAGCCGACACCTCCAACGCAAGCAAAGCAAAGACAACAAACAATACAAATACAAATAATAACAATAATAGTAGTGGTGGCGGTGGATGGTTTGGAAAATGGTTCAATAAAAATTCAGAAGAAACACATGCAAGTACAAAATGTAATTATGAACCTCCGTGGTCTCATATAACTGAGTACATGAAGATGCAGGATACAATCAGGAAGCAGATTGATAATATTCCAAGTAATTCCAATTCAAAATACGTAGACAACGGATTCCATCCAACTAAAAAAGTTACAGAAGCAAACAATGTTTTGTTAAATGGCGTAGAATGGGTTAGAGCTGAGCAGTTATATGAGAAACAGAAGTTCATTGATACTTGCAGACCAAATGACTTAGTACAAGGCTATTTCGGCGATTGTTATGTTGTTACTGCAATGGCAAGTATCTGCAGAAGCATTTCGAATATTAAGAATTTGTTTTATATACCAGATATTGCAGTTAAAAACGGACTTTGCTGTGTTGTTTTCAAGGCAATGAACAAAGAAATGTCAGTTAACGTCGATACATTGATTCCTCTCTTGAACGGCAAGCCAAGAATGGTTCATCCAGCGACAGAAAGATCTCCATATTGGTTCTGCATTGTTGAGAAAGCTTATGCAAAAATTGTTGGTTCATATTCTGCAGCAACAGGCGGAACTCCTGATGAAGCTCTTTATAGATTACTTGGCGGATTCCCAATCAATATCGACCTTACAGATCTCGATGTCAGAGAAAGCATCACATCAGGCGAACTGTTCAAGCAAATGGTTGAATGGAACAAGCGCGGTTCACATTTGATTGCTGGTTCTCCAGAAGGAAGCCACTTCAAGAAGAACAAAGATGGAATTGTTCAAGGCCATGCTTACAATATTCTCGATGTTGTTGAATTCCACGGTGTTCAACTCCTTAAATTACGTAATCCATGGGGTGAACAAGAGTGGAAAGGAGATTGGTCTGCTGAATCTTCTATGTGGAAGAAATATCCAGCTGTTGCAAGTAAATGCAATTTTGATAAAGATCGAACACAAACAGATGGTGTTTTCTGGATGTTATTTAAAGATTTCACATCAAACTATGCACAGTTGTATTGTTTGATTGTTAATGAATCATTGCCGCATTACAGATTCATCATCAGTAACACAATGAAGCCAGGAGACACAGATGGTGCTAAACCAGTTACACAATCGCGAGATGCCGATTGTTTGCCACAGTACATCTTGAGAGTTTCAGCAGATTGCACCATTAAAATGTTCTTAGAAAGAACCGGTCCAGCGGTTCCAACATGGGTTTACGCAGTCAAAGGAAAGGAACCAATCAAGAAGATCTATTCAGGAACTAAATATAAGACAGAGCCAATGCCCGAAAACTCCGCAATTTACTCATTCGATTGGCAAATGGAAAGCGGCGAATGGGTTATAGTTGTCTGCAGAAACAAATGCGACAAAGAATCCGATTACGTTTTGAAGATGTATTCTGATCGCCGGATTGAATTAACTCCATTGATTAACTGCACTCAACAAACAATTTCAACAAAGTAAAATATTTTTCATCACTCTAAATTTTAATTTTTTAAATATCTCAATCAGAGGAAATTTGTCTTATAGATATATCTCATATCAAAGCTTCTTTCATAATATGATTAACATTTGAGACAATTGCTATTATATACACACATGAGAATTATAATGCAACTTTTTTAGGAAATGAAGTAACTCTTAATGTTATATTTGAAATGGGGATATAACTTGGTTTTGATCAAATTCAAAAAAAAAAGTTTCTTTAGTGAATTTCTTATTAATATCTGGAGATGGTATTTTCAGGCGCTCTAAACTCTCTTAAATTTTAGAATCCTTTTAATTCAGATATTTAATAAGATTCTATTATGACCGAAAAGACTTTGAAATCGAATCAATGTTCCTGTGTTATAAATGAATCATATCAAGATAGAAAATTCTCCAAAAAAAGCTCTACCTTTGTGAATATTATCATGGAATTATGTATGAGCATTAGATCAAGCTAGTTATTTTGATTCAATGCTAATCAAACATTTATAGTATTTTAATCCCACATTTCAAATTCACATATCAAAAAAATTATTTCCACTTCTAAAATTTATCGATAATAATAATTTAATAATCTTGGAGGACGTTATTATTGAGTTACTCGGCACAAATAGTTTTTAAGTATTTTTTGACATTACGTTTTGCCAACATCAATGCCGTTTTTCCATCATTATCCCTTGCTTTTTTATCAGCTCCAACTGAGATAAGATATTTAACAACTTCAAGTTGACCTTCTTCTGATGCATAAATGAGTGGAGTATATCCATCTTTATTCTTTGCTTCTTTATCAGCTCCAACTGAGATAAGATATTTAACAACTTCAAGTTGACCTTCTTCTGATGCATAAATGAGTGGAGTATATCCATCTTTATTCTTTGCTTTTTTATCAGCTCCAACTGAGATAAGATATTTAACAACTTCAAGTTGACCTTCTTCTGATGCATAAATGAGTGGAGTATATCCATCTTTATTCTTTGCTTCTTTATCAGCTCCAACTGAGATAAGATATTTAACAACTTCAAGTTGACCTTCTTCTGATGCATAAATGAGTGGAGTATATCCATCTTTATTCTTTGCTTTTTTATCAGCTCCAACTGAGATAAGATATTTAACAACTTCAAGTTGACCTTCTTCTGATGCATAAATGAGTGGAGTATATCCATCTTTATTCTTTGCTTCTTTATCAGCTCCAACTGAGATAAGATATTTAACAACTTCAAGATGGCCATAACCTGATGCATAAATGAGTGGAGTATATCCATCATTATCCCTTGCTTTTTTATCAGCTCCAACTGAGATAAGATATTTAACAACTTCAAGTTGACCTTCTTCTGATGCATAAATGAGTGGAGTATATCCATCTTTATTCTTTGCTTCTTTATCAGCTCCAACTGAGATAAGATATTTAACAACTTCAAGATGGCCATAACCTGATGCCCAGATGAGTGGAGTCATATCATAATTATCCTTTGCATCTTTATCACAGCCACATTCGATGAGTGATTTAACAAGTCTGAGATTTCCTTTTTCACATGCAAAATGAAGTACATTCTGCTCAGGAGAATATTTATCCTCTTTAGGAGCAATCTTTTTCCAAAGTCCTTCTTCGCATGCTTTTGACAACATTTCATGATTTCCTTTCAAAGAAAGATCATTAAGGAAATTGTAAACGGTATTAAAATTATTTGATTTCTTAAGTTTTGCGATTTTAATCATGATTTCTTTCGAATGATTGTCATTTTCATTGGTTTGATTGACAGTCGATTCTTTGGTCGTATTTTGATTTTCATTTTGAAATGCTTTTAAGTTATCTTGAAGTTTTTTAATTTCCTGTGTAGAATCGCTTATTTCTTTCTCCTTTTGATTTAATAAATCAATGATACCATCAAAATATTGAATTTCATGTATTTTTTGACAGATTTCAGAATTGAAACAGCTTCTTCGATGTTTTTGATAGTAACATTTGCTTTCCGTGTACATGTATATAATTTTCTTGCGTTAATAGCTGAATGAGCTTTTTTGAGAAGTGTAATAAACTGATCAGCTGTCAAGTGTGAATATTTCATGATTGTCCTGATATCATCGATCTCAAACGTATCGAAAAAGTTTTCATTCTCAATATAATCGATGAGGTGAGCCCCAATGTATTCGAAATTCAGATTGATTTCCATTTTTTGAATTTTTCGTAACGTTACAAAAAATCTGAATATCAATAAAAAATCAAAATCCGGCTCCATATGTAATGCCCTATTTACAACATTGTTGATTCTTGTAGAAAAATACTGGAAAAGTCCTCAAGGTAACAAATCTGTTATGATTGTGGTGAAACACGGGTGAATTCAGAGATTTTAAATAATTAAAAGTTCACATAGATTAATTCGGAGTTTACAAAAGATAAGTATAACCCAAGAAAATATAAAGATATTTAAAATTGTTTATAATGAGCGTCTTCATCATTTTATCATTTTGAATGGTGATATGCGTCATTCCAAAGCGAAAGGATTCAAAATAATCAGATTTTTATTTTTGAAATTCAAAATCTCTAAATTTTACTATACAATATACATATACTTTTTGTATTTTCAATGTCCAAATATAGAACTTGGGGTATTCTAGACTATTCCATGAATACAAAATTACTTTTGATGAATCAAAAATTTTTGATATATTGTTCACATGCAAAAAGTAAAACTACAATAGTGAAGAAAATATTTCAAATTTCCCCGCTTAACCTTTTAAAATGTCAAACATTTGTTATCAAATTTTGAAATATCAAGTAAAAAAATGGTCAAATTTCATATTTGAATATAAATATTTATTTTTTATTCTATTGGTTGTATGGGTTATAATAGTTATCTTTGTTTTCTGGAGCGTTATATGAAGGAACCGGTGCTGGAGCTATATAAGCTTGGGGCTGCTGCGGAAGTGCTCCATAAACAGGCGGAGGAGCTCCGTAAACAGGTTGTTGTGGAGGTGCTCCGTAAACTGGTTGAGGTACTACATAAACAGGTTGTTGTGGAGATGCTCCATAGTAAGGCTGTTGTGGTGGAGCGACGTAAACAGGTGTTTGTGGTGTAGGTGGAATATAATTAGGCTGAGTTTGTTGCTGTTGTGGCTGTTGTTGTGGTTGTGGTTGAGGAGTATAATATTGTGTATTAACGACATTGACTTGGATTGTAGTTTGTTGATTGTTGCCTGATGTTGATACTTGGTTATTGATCTTTGTTGAAGATGAAACTTGGCCAGGGTATCCTGGGTTATTGTTGTTTGATGGTGAAACAGTTTGAGCAGGACGTACTTGGTTACTGTTGCTTGATGGAGGTGCAACTTGGCCAGGATATCCTGAATTATTGTTTGATGGTGATACAGTTTGAGTAGGTCGTGTTTGGTTGTTGTTGGATGTTGAAATTCTATCATCAGGACGTGTTTCGTTATGTTCGTTTGTTGCTGATACTCTTGAAGATGATGAGCAGCAATTTGCAAAACAGCAGCAACATGATTTGTGGCAGCAACAGACGCAACAAACAATGCATAAAATGACAATAACAACAATTATAACAATAATAACAATTAATGCAATTGCCCATGGTTCAAGGCCTCCAAAACTTGCTTTTCCAATTGATTTATATGTATTCACTTGAGTGCTTGATGAAGATGAAATAGTGTAAAAATCGTATTTTGAATTCGATCCATCAATAGCAAATTGGTCATCATCTGAAGATCCGCTTACATCAATCTCCATCTGGTTATATTTTGATTCCTCGCCTATCATGTATGTTATAATAGGATTAGTTGCATTTTCGTTTGAAGTTGTCACTTCGTATTCTGATACACCTTCTGGATCATTAGACACATGAAGTACATTAGTAGAAATAATTTTAACCTTTCCATTTGAAAAAGCTGATACAACACAATATTCATAGTTTGAATCTGGTTCTAGTTTGTATTTAACTTTACCAGAAAGTATTGTTACATAACTACATCCTGAATATGCATCTGCATATTTGTAAACAACAAAATCACATGTTTTAGAACTACTTGATGATGATAATGTAAGTGTTCCTTCCTCTAAAAATGCAATAGCTTTGATACCTGTTGAACCAAGAATACTAAGAGATTCCGATTCAACCTCTGCATTGCCTGTAATAGAATCGGATTTGGTGAAAACAATTAATGTTTTCTCTGGAATTGAGTATTCAGTCGACGAAGAAATTGTTATTGAATTATATCCATATGATGGATAACTGTATGAACTAGAGGATGAGCTTCCACTACTACGTGGGGATGGAAACTCCGAAATAGATATTCCTGTTGAAAATATAAATATATTATGAGAATTGTCGTAATATTGATAGTTGGACCTAGTACTAGAATAACTTGCGGTCACTTGATAATGTGTGGAAGCTGTATAACTATCTTGATGATAATGTATTGTAGCACATTTCCAACTATAAATTCTATTAGAAATCACTTGTATGTCTGGTTTTCCACCACTATCTGAAGCATAAATGTCATTACCATCCGTTGATACTGATGTGAACTCAAATTGTTCAGAATCGAGAATAATTAAATAATAGTCTTTAGAGGAAGAAGATGTTTGCGTCATATAATACGACTTTGTAGATGGATAAATCCAGAATTCAAGAGCGTCGTAAACCTTTGGAATAAGAAAAACACCAAAATTAATTGAGTCGTAATTACTACATGTCATTTTATATGTTGACGATGTGTGGTGAAGCATGTAGACTCTACTGACTAAATAATCGCCATCTATTTTTATATACGATGGGTAAGAAAGGAAAACAATATAATAATCGTAATTTGAAACGTTTTCAAGATCAAATTTTAGGTCAACACCTGAGCTTGATATCGGTACTGAATGATAGCCTGTCTCATCGACTGTGTAAGAACAAGAAATGGTGAATAAAAAACTTAGAATTTAAATATTTTAGGGGAAAAAAAATGAGTCGCATAACGATTAGTTCTTTTCAAGCTCGTCTCAAAATTGAATAGAAATGTAATACTTTTTGAGAAGAGAAAATTTTACAAAAAATAATAAGTATATCATTTAAATTACGATTAAAAAGTACGTTTTTCTTCTTGGATTTGTTTTGTTCTTACTTCCGCAACATGAGATAATTGATTCTGTGTGGAAATTGTACAGAAGAAAAATACATACCACAATGAATTATTTTAACATATTACTGCTAAGTTTTTAGGTGCTTGAATTTTGTATTAATTTAAAGGCTTTTTGTATCTTGTTTGTCTTTTTTCATACAATACCACTTCAAGAAGAACAGGGATGGAATTGTTCAAGGCCATGCTTTCAACATTCTAGATGTTATTAAATTCCCCAGTGTCCAACTCCTTAAATTCCCTAACTCATGGTATGAACAAGAATGTAAAGTAGATTGGTCTTCTGAATATTCTATGCGGAAGAAATATTCCCCGGTATCATATTAATAAGCTCTTATGTGTTTGAAACTTATAAGTAGGTTGTTATCGACTCTACATGAATAATTAGCTTATGTTTATGATATTGCTTATGCTCACTTCATAATATTATATCGGAAAAATGTAAAAAGATATATTGCTAAGACATAGTTTTCGAGCAACTCAGGAACCACCATTTAATGGATCCTATCATTCATTAATCTAAAGCAAGCATATACATAATCATGCATTGAGGAATTATCAAATTATAATATTTGGTGCCCAGTGATGCTCATTTCCCCCACGTCTAGTCCAATCCTAAAGATAGATTCATTTCTGAAAGGCATACAGACTGTGTAAATGTAAATAAACTCGGAAGCATTGGGTGAATATATGATTCGTCTAGCAATCTGAAGCTTTATCATATTCGTGTAAATGTCTTTCATAGTAATCGAATGAAATACGAGTTTTTTATAAAATGAGGAAAAAAGACGAGTTCTTTTTCTGATTTTATTATAGAATTTATTGCAGCAATAATTAAAGAGCATAATTTATAACTTATAAAGTATAAATGAAATAATTTATTTCTTACATTTTGTAAACTTCATAATTTTGAAATAAAAAATATTAGTGATACGAATTCCATAAAATTCTATTTTATGCAGAATTCAAAAATAAAAATGAAATTTGAATAATTTACAAAATTAGAGATGCTGTAAACATGCAATATGGAGAGCTAATGACTGAAGTAATGTTTGAAATATTTCCAGAAGGATTTCCGACAGATAAAGATGTAGAAAACATGAGCAAGGAAGAAAAAGAAATTTTATATGAAAAACAAAAGCAATTAATTATATTATTTAGAAGTAGAGCAGATTCTAAAATCAAAGAGCTTCAAGAAGTTATACAAAGCATACCTCTGCCTGCTCCTCGCCAACAACTCGTAAGAAATTCAACCGAATCAAAATCTTGCGAAATTTTTACTATTCCACCAGAGAAACCTGATGTTCAGAAAAGCACATCTAATCTTCCTTCTATAAAACCGATTACTAAAGAACCTCATTCAATGGAGATTTTAACAATTAAAAAAGAACGGCGTGCAGCGCAAAATAGAAAGTCTGTCGATATACTCCCTCAAGAACTACCTAAAATGCATTTCCATAGAGCAAGATTACCTTTGTTTGAGTCGCCTATGACAATTGCACAAGATTTGACCGTAACACCAAAGTTAAAGCCGAAAGATCCTAAATACAATAAGCCTCCATTTCATCATTGAAATGGTAATATATAGTTTCTTCCGGTTTAACCTTGGCATGTGTAATAATGTCTTGGGGAAGTAGTGATATGGATAGCATTATTAGAAGTATTACATGATACTGATGCGATTTGTACTCATTACATTTAATTCGTTTCATATTATTTGTAATTTTTTGTTTGTAAATAGTTTGTTTAGTGAATTTTACATGATAAACATTCATATTAAATAATAATGATTTAGTCAATAAACAAATTTTAGGGGTATTGATGCAAACAATAAATTTAACAGAATAATTTCTTTGAACTGAGTGGAAACTCTAAGTCAAGAACATTTGGTTTTGACGGAGCTTGCTTAAAGAGCATTGATGATATTGCTGGCGGCTCAATAAAGGCCGGAAGTAATGGTAAATGTGTATGTGGTTTCTCTTGCTCTTCGTCAACTTTGCCATCTTCTTCACCCCATTTGACTCTCTTTGATCTTCTTTCTTGTTTCGATTCTTGATGAGATATACCATGGTATTTTGTAAGTGCGCTATTCCATCGATTCTTAATGTTGTTGCCACTACGGCCTGGTAGGAATTGCGAGATTTTTACCCAATGCGGTCCAAAAATTTTGTATTTTTCAATGATAATTTCGTCTTCCTCGCTACTCCATGGTTTGTTAACGACTTCTTTAAACAAATATTGATTGTATCTGTCTCTGCATTGGCAAGCAGTGCGTCCAGGAAGGAAGTTAGCAATTTCTTTCCAAGTTTTATTCTTTTTATCTTTAACGAGCTCCTTTAGGAGATTGTCTTCTTCAGCAGTAAATCGAGCACTCCTTCTCTTTGTTGGATCTGGGATCGGAGTAAAAGAAGTTAGGTCACTCATTGAAGCTTCCAATTTTGAATATGGTAAGGCCAAAAATTGACATTTGATAGACTTTTATAACCTGTTCGTCTTTGAAAATTTGAATGATAATCTTAAAAATTTCTTTCAACTGAAAACCTCTAGTGATATGTGTATAGATGAATGGCTCAAAATGGACTTAACAATATAAAAAATTTGAAGAGTTGGTATTGAATCGAAGTATTGAAATTATTAAGGCTAAGAATCTTGTTTTTATTAATATATGACTTATAGAAGATATTATATATGTGCTGTCGTATTATCGCTTCACAAAACGTGCATAAAACCTGACTACTCTCTTAAGGGAGGCTCCCGACCAGAAAGCCCTCTCAATTTTTTGTGATGTTTACACCAAAAGTGAGATTCGTTAAGCGTTTTTCTCGTTGAATATTGAGTTTCCCGGATTTTAAGTTATTCATAAAGCTTCTCTATATTATACCCTATCTACTGATATGATTATTTTTGGAAAATCTCTTAAATCGACCTGCACTGAATTTTTTAGGGAAAATTCGAAATTTTCTAGGCGTTTTCTTTAACGTTTTTTTACGGAATAAAATCCGAAAAATAATTTTTTGAAGAATCATTTGGGTCGAATACTTATCGAAAATTATATTTATTATAATTTTGGTCGATAAAAATAAGCGGATTCAATAAGGATGTCAATTTGGAAGAAAAGTGAGAAAATTCCTAAAATGCTAAAAATGAATTTTCCAAACGTACTTTTTTATCTCATTTTTTTGATTTTGAAAAAAATTTGGAGAGAAGAACTCTTCGTTTTTGAATTTTGTCACGATGGTTTTAAAGTATATTAGACACATGTATTGATATTACTATTTTTGTATATTTTGAGAGAAAATCCCTAAAAAGTGAGAAAATCTGAGACGGTTTGAGAAAATATATAAACTATTGAAAATTTGAATTAAACTTCTAATTTGGAAAAAAGAAATTTGGAAAGAAGAAAATTCAAAAATCGAGATTTAAACTCAGTATCAAATGGAGAACAAAATGTTTCTTCATATGCAGGAAAAAATTTTCTTGAGAAGAAATAGAGTTTTTAAAATTTTATTGTATGTAATGAAATAAACAAATATTAAAATTATTTTTTGATAACAAGAAAATTCCCAACAGAAAATATTTGAGACAAAGAAAAAAAGAAAATTGAAAAATATTACTCTCCTTTACATTTCATGAGATTTTCAATTTATTTTCATAAAATTGACAATTTTATACGTTTAGATGAAAATAAGTGATTTTGCTTGAAATAAAAATTATTGTTTGTTTACAGCTATCAAATAGATTTTTGCTATTTTGATTAAAATTTGTTAATCAAATTAATAATTTTTTTTCTAAATATCTTAAATATCTGGATCACTCACTGATACGATGAATTAAACGATAAAAATAATACAAACTCAACTAAGTTTCCTGTCTTTCAACCAAAAAATATTATGCAATTTAAATTAAATTGTTTATTCAAAGATAAAACAAAGATAAAGTAATTATAATTATCATATACTTTATGAATAACTCTCTAATTGGATAAGATTTTCGTACAAATATTTTTATTAATATCGATAAGAATATGTTTACCTACTATCACCATATGTCGATAAACAAGAGTAGAGTGATTTTTATCATCGAAACTTTTTAAAAGCTGTAAGCAGGAAGTAATAATCTTGTTTTTTCTGAGTTAGTTGTAGAACTATTGATGCCCGAGTTATCATTGTGATGCAGAAGGATATCAATGTACTGACTGAAGGATATGAATTGAATTGAATTTTATTGAATTTCAATTTGATCAAAATTTGTTGAAATGATATGAATGTGTCAACTTCTGTATCATTCTCCTTCACTCCTTCCTTATTCTTTCGAGAACGAAGCTAGCTCAGCTTTCGCTGAGCGAATTGACACTTTTCATGCCCTAAACGTACATACTCTCAAATTTATCGAAAAAATTAATACCACCTAAACTAGTATATTCTTATTTTAAATATGATATTATCCTTATATTCCACACTAAAATTCATTTAAATCAACTTTTAAAAAAGTTCGAATCCTGCGCGTCTCACTTTTTAAATTTTCCAAATGGAAAATTATATTCTCCTAAAGTGAAAACAATTTTCCAAATTGACTTCCTTAGATTCAAAACTGGCAAAAACCCTTTCGGCAATTTGTGGACGATTCCGAACCCCCTCATTTTTGAAATTTAATAAGAAAAATAGAATCTTTATTAAATATAGATTTAAAAAAACTTGGTTATAAATTACGAAATTTTCTCACTTGGGCTAAAAAGTGACAATTTGGTCGGAAGCCACCCTTAATATAATTTTTATAAAAAAGCAATCAAAAAAATATTTATGCTTTATCCAGTAATATATTCTCAGATCAAAATATTGATTTTGAAAAATAAGATTATTTAAATTTGGAACGTTACATTCAAATTTGTTGAATTTGAGTGGGGGACAAACTCGCCCATTGTCACTTTCATTAACCTTAAACTTGTAATTTTCATTATTTTTAATTAACCTTATTTCTTTCCCAATTCCTGATTTATTTTATTCACTTACTATTAAAAGTCACATTTTAATAAAATATAATAATTTATTTATAGCATTTTTTACTATACTGTAATAAAAAATTAATTATAATAAATTAAATGTTTATTAAATCAAATGTTTTCTTTGCAATAATATTTTTAATGTTGAGTAAACAATGTTGGGATCAAGTGTATCATTTTTCAGACCTTTCTGAACAGCTTCAAGCATACTGATGCATTCGACTTTTTTAAATTGTGTCATTTCTTCGAAATCTCTTGTGACTTTTTTGATAACTTTAACACTTCTCTCTGAATCCAGACCTTTAATTTGCAACTTAATCAGGAATGAAGGAACAACACTGGAATATAACTCGATGACAAGTTCATCGAGTCGAAGATTTCGCCTTTCTGGGAAGTACTGGTGCTTCAAAACCTTGAAATCTCGTAAACGAAAAAGAGGATTTGACTGCGTCAAATCCTCTCTCAAAAAGTGGACTTTACATGGCAAATTTCAAATGCATGTAAGGTCCACTTTGATCAGTTTCAGGATGGAATTGGAGGCCATGAGGTACTGACATTGCATCAGTATCTCATAGCCTCCAATCCCTTCAAAAAATGGGAGAAACTTTGGTCGAATAATTTAACATTCGGCCAAAGTTTCTCCCATAATTAATGAGAATGAAAGGGTAAGAGGCATATAGGGTCACTATATACCTCTTACCCTTTCATTTTCATTTGGAGGTCAACAAACCCGGAGTTAATTGCAAACAATTAACTCCAAATTTGTTTATGTTAAGGAAGGAATTGGAGGGTAAGAGGTACATAGTATGAATATGTACCTCTTACCCTGCAATTCCTTCTAGAAAGTTCCAAAACTTTGGGTTAATTGCAAACTATTAACCCAAAGTTTTGGAACTTTCAAGTGGAGATGGAAGGCTTTGGGGTATATATTAATACAATATACCTCAAAGCCTTCCATCTCCACTACAAATGGGAGAAACTTTGTCCGAATAGTTTAACATTCGGACAAAGTTTCTCCCATCTTTCAATGTAATTGCTACCTGTGAGGTACTGACTTGAAGTCAGTGCTTCACAGGTAGCAATATCCAAAAATTTAAAAACATTTTATCAGTTCGTTAGAGAACTAGAGCCTCCTAGGTACTGAACCAGAATCAGTGCCTAGGGGACTCTAGTGATCTATATAAATCTGAGAAACTTTGAGGAAATTGTTCGACATTTCCTCAAAGTTTCTCAGCAATTTAGCGAGGAATGTTCGTTATCGTGTAGATATTTATAATATATACATGATAACAAACATTCCCCGCTAAAAGATGTAAAATCTTATAAGAAATAATTGCAAAAGAATAACAAATTGCAACAAATTTTATATGAAACTGAACCTTATGAGGTAGTGATTCAAGATCACCGCCTCATAAGATTCAGTTTCAATCTCAAGTATCTCAAAAGTAAGGCTCTATTTTTTGCCATGTAAAGTGTCACTTTTCTGTCAAACAGTTTTTATCGTTTTCGTTTACAACAGAAATGTGATTCCGAGATGTTGTTTGTTTCATCTCCTTCATTTCTATAGCGAAGCATCCACCTGTCAAGATGATGGCGCCACTGTCGGTCAAAGTATTCACGGGCAGCAGGTTCCTCATTTAAAATTTCTTCTAAATTGTTGTAAACTTCATCAGGATCAATTTCTTCCTCTTCAGAACCAAAGACCAATAACTTCATTAAGTTATAGAAAGTTTCGAAGTTGGAACGATCTTGAAACTTTTCAGCCTTTCTCATGACAGCGCGCAACACATGAACGCCACACCAAATGATCTGGCATAAGGGGATGGATGTTTCAACAGCATTTGTGATTTGAGGTGCGCAGTCCATTGAAAAATAAGATGGTTCGCGATTGATGGAGCCAAAATATGCTGTGAGACAAACTTGTATATTTTCACTTGTGTCGGGCCAAACGAAAAAATACAAAAACGGAAAAACAATTGATTCCGTGAATTTGCCAGTGACGGCATAAAATGGTATGCGAGAGCGCAAGAGCTTATAAGTGGAATCAATGTGATAAGTTTGTATTTGATGTGAAAAAGCATTTGCTTCGAATGGGGCGTAATAGAAAATCATACGATCTGGCTCGTGAATAAACTCGATGAGATCATCTGGAGAATGACTCTTAACCATGTCGACAAAAATTGCAAGAGATGTAACATCATCCGCTGAGAAACGGGTATTGATTGCATGAAGGCGTTTAGAAAACTTTTTTAAAGCATCTGTAGATTGTTGAAACATTTCCAGAATGATCCCACTATCAAATGGGATATTAAGATCTTTGAAACACCTTAATTGTGCGTAAACACGGTCTTGATTTGATTCAAAATATCTTGTTAAATAAGATCTAGAAAAATATGATGTAATTTTGTTGTGATTTGTTTGGAAA